AAATATAAAAGATACATGGTGAAAATAAAATAAATGAATTATTACTGTAGATGTTAAATAAGAAACAGTTGTCTGATAAAGCAATAATAAGGTCTCGAGGCCGCAGATTGCTACAGGTTCCTCACATGTAGTGTTGCCCAAATGCGAGACCCAGACGAGTCTTGGTCTTGCAAACTCAGTTTGGTCATGGTCTTGGTCTTGCACAGGAGTCTCGCAACAGTCTTACAGTACTGTATTTTGTAGATAGGAGAAACCTAACTAAGAAGCCTGAATGAAAAATTAGAGAAATTAAATGCAAAACTATATTGGTTATATCAATTATTTACATATAGTAACTAAGATTGTCGAGTATTAGTAACCATTTTGCCTTAATTTTTTATTAAAAACATCGATTTTTTTTACCAGTCCTGGTCTTGGTCTTGCAACAGTTAGGCGGCCTTGGTCTTGGTCTTGCAAAGTGCAAGACCAAAACCGATTTTGGGCAACACTACTCACATGTAGAATGAACGAATATACAAGTTCCATCAATGTCACTAACACAGAAGAATCTACGGAGGGAAGGAGACTTTAGGACTGAAGCTCTCCTTTTCCCGAAAAATGGTAAAATATAACCATGTTTTATAGGAAAAAAAAATTAAAAACTATCTATTAAAGTATTATTGTTCGTCTAATAATATTTAATAGGACTTCTAGAATCACTTAAACTCAATGTCATATAGTTAGTTAGTTTCTTTCTTTTTTTTTCAAATTAATTATCGTTATACCTAATATATATTAAAAAAAATGTTCACGGTGAAGCTTTTCTTCCCTCCCCCAAAAATTAAATCCTGGATCCACAAATGACCACTAATACTAACGAATCCAGGATTTGGGGGCTTCAGCGCGAAAAATTTCTTTTTATATATTATAATAATTACTTTGGAACAAAAAGAAAGAAACTATAACTATATCTATATGAAATGGTGTTAAATTGATTTTTGAGGTCCGATTAAATGTAATTAGACGAAAAATAATACTTTTTAAAAATATTTTTATCATAAAACATGGTTATATTTTACCATTTGGGGGAGAGGGGCTTCGAAACGAAAGCCCTCCCCTCTCTCCCTCCGTAGCTCGCCTGAGGTCACTAATATTTGGAATTCATTTGGGAGAGAGATAGCTATGTAGTGTGAGTTCTCATTGGGACATACTAGTTTATAAAACTACTTGTGGTCATTTTAAAGAAAATTGATTTGATAATTGAAGACACTGAATTGGTTATTATACCCAGCAAACGCCATATTTAGCAGTTTGAGCTAGTGTTTGAGCCCAAACGCAAGACCAAGGCGAGACCGAGGCGGTTTTGCTCTTGGTCTGGCATACTCAGTCTTGGTCTTGGTCTTGCGCAAGAGTTTTGCAGTTACCTATTAGTTTATTGCTATTTATTAAATATCTTAGATCTTAGAAAACAAATAAAGAAATCTAAGAATCAATAAAAATATTTAAAAAAAAAAAGTAAAATTTCAACGTATTCAGCTAAGTATCAGTGTATCAGTTTTTATTACTACACAAATATAATGTTTTACAATAGAGGCCGTCTTAAACGTCCTCAGTACACAATACGAATAACAGTAAAAGAAAAAAAAAGTTGAATTGTTATGGGTTATTAAATTATTGTACTAATATTTTTTTCGATAATACAAAAAATAACGTAATACAATAAAAAGAAGCGTTATTATAAAACCATAAATATTCCATTTATGATTACTGAATGATATGGCAGAAGACCGTAGGCGTTCTGAAACTTGTACCGCTTTTTCCACCGATTATATGAATTTTCTAACGAAACGTTTCAAAAGTAATCATTTCTTTAGAAAGAAGAATGTTATCTTCAGATGTTTAATTTCAAAACCTTTTGCAATACGGATAGTCGGTTAATTACAAAGCACGCTTGATTTGCAACTTTTATTTTTACGACTTGAAACGATTGAATTTATTTACAGATTATTTATTGTCTAAGCCAATTTTTTTTGTATGTGTTATTATTCTCTGAATACCCAGCTTTAGTAAAAGGCAAATTATGACGAAATTATGCCAAACGCTGAATTTCAGTGACCGAAAAAACTAACTGAAGCCAATTCCTCAGTCTGCCATGTTGGATGCTATTTTGGAATAGCCAAAAAGCCTTGGAAAGAGTTAAATAAGAGGAAACTCATTTTCCAGGCTGCCATTTAGTAGTAGCATACAAGATAGAAAACCGTTTGTGATGAAAGCAAAGAAGAAAGAGATGAATTTAGAGTAAAAAAAAAATTATTATGGATGATGGGGTTAGGACGCAGTCCATGAAATGTAAAACAGTAGACTACAAAAAAAAAAAAATTATATTTAATTCATTTTACGTTATTTGTGAAAACATTAAAACAGAAATATCTCAAATCGAATCGAGCCAAAGGCGAATAAAGTTGCTGTCAGCCCAATTTTTATATTAAAGATTTTTTTTGTACTTATCTTTTTATTTATAACTTTATAATATGTTTTTATTCGATTTTATAAAAAGCAGGAAAAATGAATGCGATGAATATGTTAAATGATATAAACAAAAACGATACCGATGTTGGTTACTTTTGACAACTAATTTGAAAATTATTTTAGAAATATTTTTAATAGAAAGCGAGAACAATATGAAATCCTCATCAAATATCTATCAAGAAGCTAAACAAATATCTGGCAATTTTCATATGCTGAAACATTACTCTAATTTTTTTAACTCTTCCCATACTTAATGCCTATCCAATGTCTGTCATGTCTAATGTCTGGGGAAAGGTCATTTTATGTTTTAAAACATGTAAACAATTACTATGAGAGACGAAACATTAAATAATATAGCTTTTCTGCATGAAGCACCAAAATTATAGATGAATTTGTAATTGTATAAAATAAATATGCAAAGCTTATATCTTTAGTAAATTAATTCAATACTTTTATAATAAAGATTTTTTTTTGTACTTTTCTTTTTATTTATAACTTTATAATATTTTTCTTAAAACTTTTTATTACGGAGGCCTGAAACTTTTAATAACTTAGGGACGGTTAGAATGGTTTAAATTATATATAAATACCTTATGTATAGCAAACATCAAAAGTTGATATGGCTAAACTGAACATGGAAAAAGAAAATTTTACATGAACTGTTTCATCTGACGAACACGTCCCACTGCGACGTACAAACTCCTAAAATATTTCATCAAACTCTATGACTATCCTAATTTCGACCGTCAACGTTATCCCTTAATAAGAAATATTCTTCTACAAAGAGATCACTGGCTGCTCAAGGAAAAGTATATTTTCAAGAATTATAATAAGAGAGATAAAAACATTTATTCAACTTTAAGAGTAAATCAACTTTAAGATCTATAACTTCTTGTTGACGCTGAACATACTAATAAGTTGGTTATTTGGATATTAATTTGGTTGTTTTGGTTTCTCTTTTACTTATTCTACGTTTGTATTTTAGAAGTTTTTGATACTTTGCAATTTCTGTATTATTTTACTTTCTTTGTCATTACTTACTGATCTCTTACCAATTTATTTGAATAACCATCGCAATTTAGTCTGTAAATTTTATAAAAAGCTATGCAATATGATTTTAAACTGTTACATTTATAATGTATGCGAAATGCATGGAGCATAAACAAATTAACAAACAAACGGACCTCACACAGTATTACTTTATGTGGGAAGAAGATAAAAAAAAAAAAAAAAAAAAAAAAAAAAATGAAAAGTAATAACGTATAATATCATCAGCGATGGTCACTAGGGGATCCAGGATTTAATTATTTTTGGAGGGGGAGAGAGGGAGGCTTCAGCCCGAAAGCTTTTTTTTTTCATAAAAATAACGGTAATTACTTTGGAAAAAAAGAAAGAAACTAATTACCTATATGAAATGGTGTTCAAGTGATTCCTAAAGCCCTTTTAAATGTAATTATACGAACAATAATACTTTAAGAGATAATTTTGTTATATTCCATGTTGTAATGTTTCAATTTTGTAGAGGGGCTTCAGACCGAAAACTTTTCTTTTCCTTGTAAATTCGGCAATGTTTTAAATGAATATCTTACCAAAAGAAAAATTCGTTGGGAATCATCCGAGCCTACGAAAGAAGTGAAACTCAGCTAAACAGCACAAATTAAAAAGTTTTAAATAAAAAACAACACAAATTTACCAATATATTTTGTTCTTATTTAAATGTTTTATAAATTTAATGAAACCATTTTGAATCTACATATTTTCACAATTTTGCCGACTAAATGTTATAAATTTATTTATATTTAAATGCCTCCACTAGAGCCATTGTCGGAACTTTCTGATTAAACTCTGGAATAGAAGTTAGTTGAATTGAAAACAATTATATTATTACTTATTCGCACAAGTGGATCTACAGGAGGGACTGAAGATCCCCAAAATGGTAAAATATAATCATGTCTTATGGAACAAATACTAAAAAATTATCTCTAAAAGTATTTTTGTTTGTGTAAGAATAGGATTTCAAGAATCACTTAAACACCACGTCATTTCATATAGACAGTTTCTTTCTTCTTCTTTCAAAGTAATAATAGTTTTATATAAATAAAAAAAAAAAAAGGTTTTGGGTTGAAGCCCCCATCAAAATTATATTCTGGTTTCGCAAATGCTTATTCATATTCTTTTAGATTTCCCTTCAAAATAGGAGGCATATCTAAAGTCTTTCTGATTGTTGCCAATTTAGGGAAGCCCTTAAGACTTTTTTAAGTTTCACTTCGATATACTGAAAACAAACATCTACATTCTTGAAAATCAATGGTGGTCATATGAATGCGCTTCTATTGATGCTTGTTGCGTAATATTGATTTATAAAATTCAAGATACCTCAAAAGAACTGGAGTAAATCCAATTGGGTTTGGATTAATCTCATTAGGGTATGGGGTTTATCTCAGATATATAGCGGTTAGTGGCCATCGTAGCTTCCAGTTTCACTGCCCGTAATGGAGCCATGTGATTCTCAACAATGCAGCAACCTCACCTTCTGGGCACCCCAGGCAAGGTATTTGGCCATATATATTTACAAGTGGTGTGGCGACATGATCCTATGAAACTTTATAACCATTCCATTGATTTGTGATTCCATTGATTGATGATACGGCTTTTGAATATCTAATAAAATCCTAACGGCCGTGGCGGAGTTTGACTGAGTTCTCGTTGAAAATAATAGTATGATGTAGTTTGTAGCAGGTGGGTAATATAGTGGTACAAAGACGTAAGTACTGAAAATCACTTGATCGAAAAATAAATCTGAATGAAAACTTTGAAAATTGAGTAGTTTTAATGAGATATGAAGGAATATATAATTTACTTGTTAAAAAAAAATGTAAAAGTGATTCATTCAGTTGGTTCCGGATACAATTCAGACTGTTTTAGAAACCAAAGAAAAGAACATCTTATTTGTTTTGCTTTAAAAAGATAATTGCTTGCTCACTCTTTTACCTACATTTGTTGTTACGGCTAATAATTGGAGTATTGGAGTAGTAATTACAAAATCAAGTAAATGTTAATGAAATCTGATTAAAACAGTTTTATATACTATAATATTACAGAGCTTAAGAACGGTCAGGGCAGACACCCAATAATTGGTCCAAAAACAAGATGTTGCTCTAGATGTTATATACCTAGATTTATTATAACATGAATTAGAAACTGACGATGGAGCATTTTTTTAAGCCATGTATCCACGAGATCATTGGGATTGTGGTTCTGAAGATGGGAGTAAATATCCCGAAACGTAAACTTGTAAACATGCAATTTTGAAAATACAACAAATAAATTTAATTGTTGTTAATTGGAAGCAATCATTGCCAAATAACAAAGTGTATTTTTTTTTCTCCTAGTATTTTGAAATGAAATGCAGGTCTAAATTCCTTAACTGGATAATTCACTTATATAAACCTAAAACACAACATTTTTGCAATATTATTCGCAGATTCAATAAATAATAGTTTCCAAGGGACAGACAGCACTCTATCAACTACTTTCAGCTACAATATTCAGATATTTCACCAATAAACAAAGAATGTTTAGTGTAAATATTATTCGTTGTATCTGAGTACAAAGTGTATATAAAAATTATTTATTTATTAAAAATTCACTTTTCAATTAAAGTAATCATAATAAAAGTGCCGGTGGCTTAGTAAATTGTTTTTCTTTCAGAAGGGAGGGGGAAGTGTGTCCTGCGCACTCCTCACTTGGGTTCGCTAGTGGCATATTAAAAGATTTCAGGTTTATAGATTTTGGTTTTGCTTTTTATAATTACAATATTTATGGTCATTTGGCAATTATAAATAGCATCCCTTTACTGTTTTATCATCACATATTTTTGTTTTAACCTGCATTGTTAACGTTTCGTGGCAACACTGCTCATCTCGAACATTATTTCTTGCTAGAAATCGATCGATATTGAAATTTCGACTGATACCGATAATCGGCCGATACCGATATGAAAAAAAAAAGGCCCCTTTTCTTTAAGGTTTGTACAGTTTCACATGGAATATCCTAATCATTGCTAAATAAAAGAATTAATAGACTATCTGTGCATCGCTTTATACACAAATTTTGTCCGATAAAATAAAAATAAAACTATATTTCAGCATATCGGCCTTTCCTTCCTATATGACTGGTTCCGTACAGTCTCATAATTACATCAATCAATCATCTACGGCTAAATGCAAATATATAAATTTCAGCTGGTACCAATATTCTAAAAACCAATATATATACTTTTTTTTTATCTTCCTTTCCCTAAAATTTGAGCTTATACCAATATTCTAAAGACCGATATATAGTCCTAACGGCATCATTTTATTGCGATTCATATATTCAATTTGGATTATTATTTTTATGGCGAATAAATGAGTCAATCAATCATCAAAGGACCGACATGAAAATAAATTTGAGCGAAGTCCGATATATCCAGAGACCTGCATCACAACTTTATTTTATTAAGATTGGGAGAGCTTTTTTTTTTTTTTTTTTTTTGTGCTCTTAGAAAAAATTGTAGTGCTCGGCCTTACGATTATATTTTATTATAATTCATAAACTATTATAATTTATTATTATTTTATCATGATTCGTATATACATAAATATACATACCTATATATCGGCCATACGATCTTAATTTATTGAGATTTGTTGAGTTTGACCTTTTATTTATTTAATTTTTATCATGGTCAGCATCTTACAATTTTTTATTCCTTCCCATTAGGCCGATATATCTGCCTTACGATCTTATTTTATTTTGATTCATTGAGATTGAATTTTTATACTTAAATGAAATTATAACCAGAAAAAATACTGATATGAACTACTAATATAAAATAAGTTCGTGAAAAAAGAAATTAAATCAAAATCCGGTTCAACTCTATCAACCCAATTTCATTAAAATAAGATCATAGGGCCGATATTTCGGTCTTTAGGTTATCCGTATCTGCTAAAAATTTGAGGAGAGGATGAGGAAAAAAAAAGGAAGAAAAAAAAGGCGGATATGGCGATAATAATACCGGTATAGGTCGATCTCTACTTCTTGCCCTTATAATTATTAAAAAATAGAATATCTTTAAAGTTAATTCATTTTAAATTTCACATAGGTAATTATATCTATGAAAATTATATTTATATAATAGATCCTAAGTGTTATCAACATGACTTCCTATCAAATTTTAATTCAATTATTTAGATTCAAATATTAATTTAAATTATAGTCAAAGTCATAATGCGTATATAACGTTATGAAAAAATATGTGTTTTACAAAATAAAGCCGTTATAGAAGGTAAAACTCACTTGTTTAATGAAAATGGATATTTTTGTTTCTTATTATCAATTATTCGATTTTATGATATTCAAAACTTGTTGACAATTTGACACAAATTAAATATTTCATATTTTTCTTTTATAATAAGCTGAATCCATATTGGTGCTCTCATTTTAAAAGTGAATTTAATTTTTATTACGTAATTTAAAAAAATAATAATAGTTTTATATCGAAAAGTTTTGAACGCATCAATATATCTATGCTATTATAGACTGTTATATCTTCTGTTTCAGGGTTGCTGCTGGAGGAACCCGTATGCTGGGCTGGAATCTTAGCCCAGAAGATCTTGTTCATATTCCAGAGCACTGGCTAAAATACCCTGAGCCAAAACCTGTCTACAACTATGCACTAGGAGTCCTATATATTGTCTTTATGTTTGTTGCCCTCCTTGGCAATGGACTCGTGATATGGATATTTTCATCGTATGTATTAAACTATTGAATTAATCTTATTCTTGTATCATAGATGGGAATGGTTAGATGACTCTACTGGTTTTGTTGGTTATTTCAATTAACTCTTACTATTTTAATCAGCCTGATTCGAATTCGGGACCTTGAGGTTTAGAAGTCATTGAATACCGTGCTACCCCGCCCCCACTACTCTCACAAAAACAAGATAAAATATTTTTTAAAGAATTCTAGAACGAAAATATTTTTATTTTTCTAGCTTACAAAATAGGAAATCATTTAATCATAATAGTTAATCATTTAATTCTCATGGGAAAAAATGATTTCTTTTAAACATTATCAGTTTTCAGGAATTATTATTTGTGCATTTTTCGTATAAATAATAAGTATTAAAAATCACTTAAATTTGCGTTGGCATAACGAGTTGTAAACAAAATTGTTAGATCCATGTTTTAGTTTTGATTATCGAACCATTTAACTGTAAATATATCTAAACACGGTGTAAACAATTACTCTTAAGGGATGTTGGATTAAATGTAGATGAATATAATATGAAAAAATACTTTAAATTGGACGACAATCATAAATTAGAAATTATCAAGATATGTTAAGCTTTCAGCCAGGTAACGTTGCATAATAAATTATGATGATTTATAATTTTATTGGCTATGTCTCAAAATTATCATATATTTTTTAAAATGTTAACAAGTTTGTAAAATATATTATTTAAACGATTTTTAACATATTATCATCAAAGAAGAAATTTTACTCATTGTATAGTGCTATTCTTGTTGAGTAATAATTGTGTTGACATTTTATTATTTATTTTAGGATAACACTTGAAAATGGACGAAAAAGTCCGAAACAGCATTTGATTGGGAATTAACAATTTGAAGCTATAAAAGTTAACATTTGTCGCTAAAAACAATTTATATTTAATAATTAAACAACCTTTCGTACCAGTTACTGTAGTGTATATCAGTATTGAACCTTTTTTTTTTGACCTGTTAATTTTCAATCTACAGTTCAGTAACAAATAAAAAGAAATAATTATTATAAAATAATAGATTTATGACTAATAGTTATATATATAAAACTAATATCTCCACGAGATACAGCTAATCTTTGCCTTTCACCAGACGCTTCGTCGCATTACAAATACAACGATTTTAAGGAATAGAGGTGACAGTTTATAAACAATAAAATTATATTCCAGAATAATTCAAAATATTTACCAGACAGGAGTGCCCATCTTCCCCAGTTCGACGGCTCATACTCCATTTCTCTTTTCTTTTTAAAATCAATAGCAAGCAAAATTAGAATTATAGAAATCTTAGATGATTTGTTCCATACGTTTCTATTGTCGGTTGGTTTGAAACTTTTCGAACTTCGTCGAAATGTGCCACTCCTAAAAAATTTTGACAGCGCAACTTGAACCCCCCTTCTGGTCAGCCCTATCACCACACATTGTATGTACTGAAAATGGAATATTTTAGAAATAAAATAAATTTTATGTCTGTTCAGTGTTTTATTTTTACTTTCACTTACCTATATATGAAATATATAATAACGGACAGTACTGCGGTCGTGAAATTTTCGAATCTGAGTTTTCAACGGAAAATACATGTCTTGAGGTCTCCTGATTCCAAATAACCAAGTGACGCAAAATGGTCTCTGTATGTGTGCGTGTATGTGAAAGGTCTCAAAAACGAAAAGTCGTATGAAAGTGAAATTGCACATTTAAGGTTGGTATATACCTGAGTTGTTATAGCAACCTTTTCGTCAAAATCGTAATATAAAATGGCACTTTATATTATCGACGATGAAACACATTTTTACTATTTTCTCAAAAACGGCTCCAATGTTTTTGATTAAATTCATTATATCAGTGTAAAATTAAGCAATTTCTAATAATATTATGTAGGTTTTATTCTCATTGATTTTCTCTAACAGGGCTTAAATGTCTAATTTTCAATATTAGCTACCTCCTTAACTACCTCCTTATATTTTTATTTGAAACAATTAACCATCTCACATTGCTCTATAATATAAAAAATAGTTACATATAAAATATGAAAGAATTTTATATTTAAATAAAGGAGATATGAGAGATCGTAACAGAGACTAGATGTAATGAAGGAACCAAAGGGATATGAGCTCACCCCCGCGCCCGAGCTCACCCCCGCGCCCGAGCTCACCCGAGGTCGCCCGAAGATTAGAACAGTCTTCCATAACAACATGAGCCTAGTATAATACGGACTCCGACAATATTATGTACATATACATATGCGGTTTTCCTTAATGTTTTCGTTAATATTATTTGATATTTAATTGTATAAATTACAGCGATATAAATATTAAAATTTGTATATATATAAAGGGTACTTAGACAAATAAAAATATCCACAATGAAATATAAATCAATATTAGCGTTAATAATTTTTACTTTCACTTCACGCCTTTGTCTGAAAATAATTATTTCTGATAAGAAGAGGGTGGTGAGTGAAAGTTGTGTGATGCGAGCACCGCACAACAGATTTTTAAGAATTTTATTTCGTTTACAGAGCGAAATCACTCCGAACCCCATCTAATTTATTCGTTGTCAATTTGGCGATCTGCGACTTCTTGATGATGCTCAAAACACCAATATTCATCTTCAACTCGTTCAACAGAGGCTTTGCGTTGGGTCATACTGGCTGCCAAATCTTTGCACTGGTCGGTTCTTTTTCAGGAATCGGTGCGAGTGCCACGAATGCGATTATTGCATATGATCGATACAGGTAAGATCATTAATGATGATAAATACCTTTTAAAATTATTGTTATTAATTAAACTGCTCATTGTATAGTCATCAACAGGTCCGGAACTGAAGGAGGGACAAAGCAGGCACATGTCCCGGGCGCCAAAATGAAGGAAGAGGCAAATTTTTAGCTAAAATTTATTTTTTATGGTGGATAATTTTTGACTGTTGGAAGATATGGTCGAAGAGAAGATGGTTAGGGTTTTGAATCATTGAAAGTACAAACTTAAAATAAATTATTTTTATTTTATTTTGCCGAAGTTTAAGATTAGCAAGGATTAGATCAAAAAGACAATAATAATATTAATATATAGGTAAAATAATATGTAAGTAGTTAAATTTAGCATTTATAAATATTTATACGGAACATAAAAGCTTTGCAACAATTAATTGTGGTAATTATTGTTGAAAACGGAGGTACTTTTACTTGACAGGATAACAAATGTCATAATTTTTTTTTACAAAACTTGGCTGAATCTCAACCTTTTTCCTGAAAAACCTTAACTTAAAGCTTATTATTGAACGAAGAAGTTTTTGTAAAAGTGGGGTAACTGTAGTATAGTTGGATGATGATAAAAAAATGGAGAATAATTCATGATTTTTCTAAAAACAGAACTTAGCTTAGTTTAGCCGCTCAAAAGTCATCTTTGAAAACCAAGTTTAACAATGATAATAAATAAATTTCATATTTTTTACAATGAAGCTATTATTAATTACTTAAATTAAGTATTTCTTTAGTTATTGCTTTCGATTCAAATAAAACATGACTCACTTAAAAAACCACAAAACTTGGATTTTCTACTTTTCTGCTGAAAATTGGCCCATTGATCATATGGGCCATGTTTGATCATATGTACTTTTTTTGTAGCTCTTGAGGTCTGCTATCACTCCTATTAAAATTTCCCTCTATTTACGGGACACCCTGCATATACCGCAATATGTCACAAAAGAAAATAAATATAATTTATTTTGACTTGGTACTTCAAATGACTGCAAATCTCAATCATCTTCTCAACAAAATTTATTTTCTTGCTAAAAAATATTTTTTATACTTCTTCATCATCTTCACCTTAATCTAGTCAATGCAATAAGCTCATAACGAAATAATAATATTTATTTTTAAATATATTGTTGCAGAGTAAGATCGAAGTGGCATCGGACTAGATACCCGACAGATAAAGCGCATTACACCCAACTGACTAACAAACTGAAATCAGAAATAAGAAAATACAAAATTCAAAATTTACTAAATTTTACTGAAAAATTTACACCTACCGATAAATCACTATGGACGACCACTAAAAGGCTCCTGAAATTTAAAGACTGCAACCATCCACTACTCACTGAAGCCCAAACCTGGTCCAAATCCGACGAAGAAAAATCCCAAATATTTGCTCACCACCTCTTTAAAACCTTTAATCCACATCCCGATATTCTTAACCCAAATCATCTTGAATGTATTGAAGCAGAACTGGATATCCCACTCCAAATGACTCCTCCTCCTAAAGCCTTTCATCCTTCAGAAATATCCAACATCATTCACAGGTTACCTTCCCGCAAAGCTCCTGGACACGACCTAATTACATCCCAGATCCTAAAATTACTTCCTCGGAAAGCCATTCTATTCCTTACATATATATATAATGCTGTACTCCGATCAACATATTTTCCCGACCCTTGGAAACTATCCATTATCAAAATGATACATAAACCCAAAAAGCCACCAGAATACCCATCCTCTTACCGTCCTATCTCGCTTTTAACCATCATGGGAAAAGTCCTAGAAAAACTCATCCTAAAACGCCTGTACCCAATCCTAGATTCTAATCACATAATCCCAGATCACCAGTTTGGATTCCGCAGATCCCATTCCACTATCCAGCAATGCCATCGTGTGGTGGATGTTGTATCCTCTGCATTAGAGCGCGGAATGTACTGCACGGGAGTCTTTCTCGATGTAGAACAGGCTTTTGATCGAGTCTGGCACCCGGGACTACTTTACAAACTCCGTAAATTCCTACATCCTACATACTTCCTCATTATCCGTTCCTATCTAACTGATAGATACTCAAAAGTCAATCACAATAATGCTTATTCATCCCTCTTTTCCCAGTCCGCTGGTGTTTCTCAAGATAGTATCCTTGGTCCTATCCTTTACACAGTTTATACAGCTGACATCCCAACCCATCCTAACACTGTTATTACCACGTATGCCGATGATACATGTGTCCTATCCGTTAATAATGACCCAACCATTGCATCCCAAACTCTTCAATCGCACATCACAAGCCTTGAAGAATGGTGTCAAAACTGGAGGATTAAAATAAATTCTAATAAATCCCATCAAATCACCTTTACCCTTCGACGTAAACCTATGACCTCATGTACCACAGTATCCTTTAATAATACCCCACTTATCACTGTTGAACAAATCCGATATCTTGGATTTCACTTGGTCAAACGTCTAACTTGTAATCCTCATACCAGACTGAAACGACAAGAAACCGCTCGACGTTTCCGACTACTCCAACACTTACTAAACAAACGCTCTAAGCTTCCAGTTAATTACAAAAGACTTATATACATGACTATAATAAGACCTATTTGGACTTACGGAGTTGAGCTTTGGGGCTCCACTAAGCCATCGAATTCCTCTCGTATCCAATCCTTACAATCCAAAATCCTTCGGAAAATCCTCAATGCTCCTTACTTTGTCACCAATAAAATAATCCATAATGACCTTAATGTCCCTTATGTTTCCGATTTGGCCCAATCCAGATACCAATCCTTCCATAATAAACTTCAGAATCATTCGAATCCTCTCGTCTCTAACCTTGCTCCCTCTTCTATTCCTGATAACCCTCCGAGGCGTCTGAAAAGAAGATGGCCTCGAGATCTCTTATTGTAAATACATTTTGTTTTTAGAGTGCTACCAGTGGGTAGTTTCTCAACAAGTCATTTCATGTTTTTATTTTCTGTTATCAAATTTACTTAATGTATTTAATTTTTAATACAGTTGTAAATATCATGAATAAATAAAAAATATATATATATATATTGTTAACATATTATCTTAATTTTTGGCTTTTTTTTTTTAGTGAAGGAAGGGGGGAGAATAAGAAAGGGTATCAAAAATAAAACTTCTCCCATGACAAAAGTCCTAATTTTGGACATGGTTATAAAATAGGTGCTTATGGACGTTTCGATGTGCCATAGAAAACATCTTTCTTTTGGGAATTTTCTTCATAGAAACCTTTTAATATCAAAATATATAAGCAATAATTTATTTTATTTTTTATAGGGCTATAGCTAAACCTTTCGCTGCGAAGATGTCTCGCGCTAAAGCTGTATTATATATAATCTTAATTTGGGCATATGTCTCTCCTTGGGCTCTAATGCCACTGTTCGAAGTTTGGAGTCGCTATGTTCCAGGTATGCTAATTAGAAATACATACAAAAATAAAACTAAATTTTTAGTCTTTATATGGAATGAAATGTAATAAGAATTTGTACTCGTTTTTACTCATTTCAGTTAAAATAATAATGTACATTTTACTTTAAAAAATAATTTGTATATATTAAATTTTGAAAATATATTAATTATGTCTGCATGCAAATTACTTTTGGTCTGGTGAACTGATGATTCGAGAGGGAGAAATCTTAAAAATATTGAAGAACGTGAAACTTTTAGGGCAGTATAACGACATGGATTAAGGATATGTAGGTTACATTTATCGGGAGTGTTTGATATAGTTCGCTGAATCGACCGACGGCAAAGAATGTACTGAACGCATCATATTTTAAGTGAAAGAGCAATAAAAGAAAATTTGATCTTGAACATAATAAGTTAAAAAGATGTGCAGATAATTCATACTTTATTATCCATTATATTGATTACCATGTTTCATGCATATCTTTTAAAGCAAATACGAGCAACGAACTTCTGAACTGCTTTAATTATAATTTTACTTTCTAGGAATTACATGATTTAAAAAAAAACACACACACACACACATTTCACTTAGAGCGATATGTTTTCAAATGCGTAAGGATAGTTACAATTAATGAAAAAATAGTTACAAATAAATTGTTGTAAAATAAAACATTGGTGAATACCGTGCTTAAAGCCAAGTGCTATTTGGAAATACGCCTTTAGATAAAAGAAGAATGATTTTCTCAGTTGTCAGATGTCAAAATAATTCCAACTCGCTATGCAATGACTTCCCTGTGCACATAGAAACTTATACTGTGAAGGCAGTATCAATACTATAAGGAAGCTTCAAGAAAAAATGGAGTGCAGAGAACGTTGTGAGAAAAAGTGAAGGACTTTATTCCTCTGGTTATGATTGAGATGCTTTCTCAAGGCTAAGATGACGCATGGACTTACACAGAAGCGTCTTCTAGGTGAGTAGAGTTACAAGTCTTAGCGACAAATGTTGGGCAACACCAAAACTTAACAGTGGTTCCTAGAGTTGTAACAGTAATAATATTCAATATAAAGCGTCAAAGAGAATGAAGTTAAGAAAATCCATCAAGAAAACAAATTACCATCTTTGGAAATGTTAAAAAAAATGAGTAATCAACAAAAAATAGCGGCAAGCAAAATATTAAATTTGGTTTGAATCTAAGCGAACGAATCTGGTAAATAAGACATTACAATATACTTGACTATGATATGCATCGTTTAATGAATTGTTAATTTCATAGAATGTATTTTGTTATGAAATAGATATATTTTTCGGGTTTTGATGTATAAATATTGTTAACAGCAAGTGTCACTCACTGTAGTTAAATAATTATAATGCCTGTTTGATGATTATTAATGACTATGATTATTAATTATATAAGTTTTAATATTGATTACCAATTTTTAATTTACACTTTCAGAGGGCTTTCTAACTAGCTGCAGTTTCGATTACTTGACTCGTTCGGAAGAAATTCGCAATTGGGTAGCAGTGATGTTTGTCATCTGTTACTGCCTCCCTCTTGGATTAATAATATATTTCTACTCCCAAATTGTTAGCCATGTCATCATTCATGAACACAATCTTAGAGAACAGGTTTCTTTCTTTCACAGCAACTTTGTATTCCAGGAGAAGTATTGGATCTCTATAATTAATTGATTATTAATTGCAGGCAAAAAAAATGAATGTCGAATCTCTACGGAGCAATTCAAACTTACAACAAACTTCTGCAGAAATTAAAATAGCAAAAGCTGCTATTACGATATGTTTCCTTTATGTTTGCTCTTGGACTCCTTATGCTGTTTTGGCTCTAATTGGCGCTTTTGGAAACCAGTTAGTACAGGAAAAATTTCAATAAATTAATGATATCGTATTTTATGTATTATGTAATTTATCTACATCTTTTAGGGACGTTTTGACTCCTGGAGTCACAATGATTCCTGCTTGTGCTTGCAAAGCTGTTGCTTGTCTGGATCCTTATGTGTATGCTATCAGTCATCCTCGATACAGGTCATTTACTAGTTATTCCATAATCTTTTAATGATAAAATTAAGCACTTTAAGTTATTGTCGAGATGTAAACTTTTTTATTTATGTTACCTACTAAATAGAACATACAGTTTTAGATTTTTTTAAATAACATCATATAGATTGTTTATTAGTTTTGACGTCTTATGAACTATAGATTTTTTTAAAACTTGTTTATAAAAATATTACATTATGTCTTAATCAAGGATATTTATAATAAGGTTCAGAAAGCACAATGCACTCCATAAAAATATAAAATTACAAATATTAAACTCTGTTCCTAAGAACGCACAAATCTGAAATTACCCTAAGTTTCATCGAATGAATAGTACAATCATTAATTAAAAAGAACCTTCTTCCTATTGATGAAGAGCTTCTTAACTAATAATATTGGATTGGTGTTTACTCCTTTAATGTTTAATTCAATTTTTAATTTAGATTGGTTATAAAATTATAAAAGCTAGCATATTATGTTCGCTTGAATAACTATTATTTATATTTATATGTATTTTTTTTTTTACTTTAGGCAAGAGTTGAACAAGAAGTTTCCATGGTTAGAAATAAAAGAAACTCTTGCATCTGAAACGGGGTCTACAGCTACCGAATTGACTACGGCTACCAACAACTCAACTCCAGCTAATCAACCGAATACTAAAAATGTTTAATACACTGATATATTTTTGTAACATTTTAATTGTTGATCTGGAGGAATAATAAAGCTTATACAAGAATTAACATTGTTTTTAATGTTGAGATATTTTTGTGCTTTTCCTTTTCCTCTCGTAATACAAACAAGAAGGTATACAATTAGGAAAAAAATCTATAAATAACTGAAGTCTGTGAAGTCTATCTATAAATATGCTTTATAGATGCTATATTGTTTTTATATATAAATGTCGAAGGATAACCCAGTTGGAATGCAATATTAAGCACCCATCTACCATTTCATTGGAGCAATTTCCTTTTACAATTTGAACGGTCAATTCATATTGAAAATACCATTAATTTCGTACTCTTGCTACATTAAATTAAAATATCTACCGAAATTTCCTAGTTAATAAGTTTTACATAAATTTGGAATTATGCCTTAGAATATTAATAATATTCCAGTTGTTGTCATAGGCGGGTCTAAGAGAGGGAGGGGGGAGGAGGCTTTCGGACTGAAGCCCCTCCCAAAATTAAATCCTGTATCCGCTAATGGTTGTAGTAATCAAATGTTTCTCTTTTTTTCATAACAGTAGAGTTTTCATTACGTTATTTTTATTTTTGTTTGATCGTATATAGAATTTAGAACGTTAATTAATTTTGGCAAACAAATTAGCCTTAATTGTAATACGTTTATCCAGTACCGACTTCAGGGCAAGGTAATCCGGATACAGGTCCACGAAAGGCGAGCTGGAGGGACGCCCACTACATATTGGAAGTTATAAAAAAATAGATACTCTAGAAAAAAACTTTTTAGCTTATAGCCAAATTAAAAAAAAATAACGTAATATAAAATGTCTATCGCATGCTTACACGTTTCATCCACTAAAATCTATCACCGCTAACTACCTTTACTCTACCCGTTAATTATTTTATGGTTTCCTACAAATCGCCAACTGACGTCCTGGACTTTGGTGGATTCTGGACTCAGGCTGGAAATGTCTAGGAGCCTAGGAGGACTGGTAAATAACCAACAAATACCAAGTAAATCCAAATAAACCAACATGCGTTTATGACCAAGCTGTTTTACACCCTTATTAAGCCCAAACAACAATTCTTTTATAGTTAATGTTTATATTGATGATTGCCGCCTTCTCTCGACTGCGATACCAATGAGGTCTCAACTATTAAGCGTTGAACAAGGCCAAAACAAGTAAAGGAAATGAAGACTCATGCATCGAGCAACAATATTTAGAGGGCGGCAAAGTTAGAACGAATTTTTTATTTTTAGGTTTTGTAAAAAAAAAAAAATTCTCTTCTTAAATTAACTATGAGACGATGGTATTTATGTTGAAACATACTAGTTACAGTACTGTTATATAACTGTCGACTTTTATTGAAGGGAAGAAGAAGAAGCCTTAAGTTTAAAATAAATCCAGGTTTCGTTCACTATACCTGGAAGGAAGGCTGGGGTATTGCGTAAATTGTTTATCATTACTGTTTTCTTGTTGTCACCTTTGAATGTAAAATAATAGTTGCGTTAAATTTATAAATAAACCAAAATGTCGTCTGGTTAAAATATTTCATTTATGGCTGGAAAGCAGCGAAAGGCCTATCCACTTTGAAATGAGTGAGTAGCGAAAAGACAGAAGGAAGATGAAGTTTTATCAGAAGAGGGACAACAGAAGGATCCAACATTATTCTGGAGAAGAAGAAAGGAGAAAAAGAAAAAAATTGGGGGCTATGGCATAACGGATTTCATCTTACCGCTACTGTTGCCGTATCCTCTAAAATATCAAAAGTTAAGGCAGGGCTGCAAATATGTAAAATCAAGAAACAATAGGATGTAGGAGTGGATGGAGGGGGCCGAACTTTCTGCCTTTCTGCCTTGCCTACATATGGACCACAATACAACAAATCAGGCCCAATTAGAGGGAGAGACAGCTGGTGCCGTAGCCCTCGTTTATGCCAATAAAATTTATCTTATCTACTAACAAATAAATGTTATTTTTATATCTTTTTATAATTTTTTTGGCTGCTATCTTATCTTTCTCCAGTCCTGAATAAGGCCTGAAACTTAGACCGAAACGTTGGCACAAATTATTTTTTTTTTTTTATTCTTGCTCTTAACTTTATATATATAAAATTAGCTTTCTCTTCACATCTGCTCTTTTCGAGTTTTAATTAAAATGTTATGATTAATCGATTTACTTCTGTCATTCAAACATTACACTGATGGAAACAGAGCGGTTACAATGGCATGTTTTGTTTTGACAGTGTCACTTTCTTATCCTTCTTATAAGTTTAGAGAGTTTGTATGTTGTATTTAATTGAATAATTGTGAGATCAAAGTAGTATAATGTGTGTTTCTAATCTTATGTTCATCAAAATGGCCAATGAACACGTGAATGTATTAGATGTTATATATGGAGTTGAATTCGATGCCAGTACTTCTAGTACACAAGATGTTTCAAACTCGGAATATGAAGATGTGTTCAAGGATATTGACTTTGATTGTTCTTCAGATCTTAGTAGTCTTTCCAATGAAGAACAGGATAGTATAAAACCAATAGAAGTTCAAGCGCGGAAACATTTAGTTATTGGAAAACATATTGAAATAATTAATGGTACTACACCTTCTATAATTATGCTCATACAAGCATTACCTATTGTTTATTTTGATTGTAATTATTTTTCATAGGACAACAGAAAAAATACAAGTGTACTATTTGTAAATGTCAATTTTCTTGGAAACAACAGATAAGATATCATGACTATTGTGTTACTGGCAAGCGTCCACTGAAATGTGAATTGTGCGACAAGAGATTTGTTAAAAAATCTCATTTAGTTTATCACACACGTACCCACTCAGGTTAATAATTGGAATTTTGTTTTAATGTAAATGAATAGTTATAGAACATGACCATTAAATGATATTACAGGTGAATCTCCCTATCAATGTTCTATTTGTTTAAAAAAGTTTAAGCAGTTGTGCAAATTGAAACGCCATGAAAAAATTCATAAAGGTAAGTTAATTCAATGATTACAGAATATGATTATAATTTGTATTATTGTCTTAGTTCAAGTTGTGTGTGATTCTTCCAAAAAAAAAGTATGAGACAATACTACTTAAAAAGTTTTGTTCCTGTTTTATGGTTGGGCATAAGATCATATGATCACAGTATATAAGGAAATCTGAGAATGGAGATGATCAAACTGTTTGGGAAGGCCCCAACCTCATATATCATTTGAGCGACCATAGCATCTCCGACCTCCATCATCACACTATGAAAGGAAATCCGAGAATGGCCGAGTGTTTGAATATAGGTGTAGATGGCCAAAATGTCATGCATGGTCCCGACCTCCAACTCCTTTTGGCTAAGAAATACAGGGCTATGAAGGGCTTTTAAAAATCCTTAATGAGGTTAATAAAAGCGACTGTTTAAACAATTTTTATGATTTTAGAAAAGAAATCGAAGGCTCCATCCAACCTAGGCTGAGGTTTTAAGCAAAAAAGTTTCTGTAAACATTTATATTTAGAGATACAAAAAAATATTAACTTTTTTTTACTTAAATAATATTTACACTTACTTTATTACATCAGTTGGTCCAATTTGTTTCAATATTATATTAGTAATATTGCTGTCTACCAATTGTAATGTTTTTTTTTAAGGAGAAACAAGTTGATATTAGTTTTTACCCTCCCCTGCTACGCAGAAAAATCCTAAAAGACAAATTTTATAGAGATAAAGAAAATGGATTATTCTTCTTTTAGAATTGAATCAGGAAAGTATAACTGTGTCTGCATCTATTCTTTATTAATTGAAAAAAAAATATTACTAAAGGTCATTAAAATATATTTTTTTCATTCTGACACCAGCTGCTACGTCAGAGTGCCAAGTGTTAAATACAACTTTGTACAAGTTCTGAAGTTCAAATATTTAGGATCAGTAGTGACATGAAGGAGGAGTTGAAGCAAAGACTTGGCAGAAACAGATGATATGGCCTCCTGATGTATATGAAAAGACATCTGCTACTAAGATCAACCAAATTTCTGCTGTATGGGTTGACTTATGGGTATAAAACATGAGCAATGAAAAAAAAAGGCCCGTGAGAGAAAAATACTAATTTATGAAAGAAAGGTACTTTAGAAAATAAGATATAACCACGAACTAGTAGACTTATTACAAGGCCCGTGAGAGAAAAATACTAATTTATGAAAGAAAGGTACTTCAGAAAATATAGAAAATAAGATATAACCACGAACTAGTAGACTTATTACAAGGAGCTTGATGTGAAATATATTTGGATAGTAAGACTAAGATGGATGGGCCATGTTGTCGGGATGGACGAGACTTAACTTCAAAGAAGCTGCTCAGCATGGAATAAAAAAATTCGCACCGGGGGAGAATAAAAAAGTGTGAAGACTAAACTAAGAGATAGATGGAGTTAATACCAATTCGTGGAATCAGGAACTGGTGGATAGCTGCTCAGGACAGAAAAAAGTGACAAACAACCCCCGAGGTATCCAAGGTCTAGTAATGGATTGTAGAGCTCCGTATGATGATGATATTAAATCCAGACAAACAAGCAAACTGGTTGCCAATATCTCAAATAGCAGTCGGGAAGTAATATCTATTAGTGATTTCAAGTTTTTTTTTTACTGGACTTAGGCGCAGACTTTCCATTGTGGTTGAGGGAGGTGAGCGATGAACCTCCCAAAAAGTTGGAAGTTTATATTGTTTAAAAAAATGATGAGTGATAATTAACATAATCAACATCATTATTATAAAATGAACAATATAATACAAATAAATTTATATAAATGTTAATAGTTTTTTTTTACCAAGGAATATATTTTAAAATATGTTAACAAAACAATTGAAAATATTACATATTTTTATTTTTTATACAAAGGCTTGAGGCAGTGATATGAACTCACAATTCTTCGATGATGTTCAAATTTGCCACGGGTAATGTGAAAAAATCTTTGCATTAAAATGGAAGGATCCACATGAATGAATCATAGAACCCTAGGATATTTTGCTATATGTAATTATCATTGAAGATAAAGTAATATTTCCATAATAGGAACATAAAGCTTGTTGAAATACTTGAATACCTACTTCTAGGCCTTAGCTTAGGTATCTAGTCAACTTTCCCTATTTCCTTAATTGATTTTAGTTTACATATTTTATTTATTCATGCAGATTAATTGTTATTGATTTTGATTTGATTTTTGCTATTGAATATTGGGGTGGGAGGGGGAGGGGGGAGGCGATCGCCTTCCCGAAGTCAGCGCCTATGTTACTGGGTCATCACTCAGTGTTCCGGGGTATTATTCCCAAAGATTTTAATAATTTGGAAAGAATATCGACCCCTTGTGCCCCAGTTGCGGAGTCCCAGAGACTGCTGAGCACATTGTCATAGCATGTACTGCCTATGAGGCACAGAGAGCAAAACTGCTGAGGGAAACCGGTCTCTACGTTTTGACTGAGAGAGATTTCCCTCAGCTCATGAGTGAGGAAAACTACCCTCATTTCAAAGATTTTATTTTAAATTGGGAATCCATTAAGGCCCAACTCATTTCTCTTTGGGAAGAAGAGGAGGTGCACTGCCTGGAAGGCCGTCGGACGGAGGAGCAGAGGAAGACAGTGTCCAAACCTAGAAGAAATGTAAACGTAATATGGACCTAGTTTATAAATCGTTTTTCTAGCAGCAGTTTGTTGTTCTGCGGAAACGTCTCATTACTGCTAAAACCTGTATTGTAAGGCAGGGATGTAAATAAATAAAAAAAGTTCATGAACAATTATCTGTTATGATTTTATTTATTTAAGTTAAACTAGTTTTTTGATTACAGAACCAGGTGAAGGTTATAAGTTCCAGTGTAGTGTTTGTAAAAAGAACTACAGTAATCAGGATTCTCTTAAAAAACATGAGCTTAAACATGAATCAAAAACATACCAATGTAAAAATTGCAAAAAGAAGTATTTAGATAACTTTACATTTAAACAACATTTGGCTACTCATGAGGGTTAGTATAGTGAAAACTTATTTAATTAAAATATCTGTTGTTTTGATCAATATATAATGTTTGGATAACACATTTTAAAATAAGTATTAAATTTATAAGCCTTTATTTATAAACAGAGTACGGTTTAGGTGAGAAGAATTCACTTAGTTTGGTTTAAAGTGAATGTATGAATGAATGACAAAATAATTTTATTCTGGGACTACTGTCCCCTAAGAATAATAACAGAGTTACAAATTTATGTATTTTAGTCTGACATAATAAAAATACCAACTAATTTATTGTTAATTGTTATTTCAATTGTGCAAGGGATTGAAATTAAACATTGTATAGATGCAAGCAATTTTACATGTTAGGGGAAGTTTGAATGTGGAGTAGGTGTTGGAACAGGAGTTGTTTGAAGGAATTTGTGGATGAGGATTGACGCATGGAGGTAGGAAGTGAGTTCCATAAGGAAGCAGCATGAATGACAAAGGATTTGCTGAAGGAGGAAGTTTTATGGGAGGGAATATATAAGTCTATAGGTTGAGACCTAGTATTGAGAGAGTGGATAGAGGAGCGCAGAGTAAGGAGTTCCAGGATGTAGGGAGGGTTTTTGGTTCTGAAGACTTGGAAAAGGAAAACACCAAGAAGGAATTGTTGTCGGGAAGTAGGATAAAGCCACTTCAACTCGGTGTACCATAATGAAACATGTGAATGCCTGGGGATTCCGAAAATGTATCTTATGAAACAATTCAGGAGTCTTTTTAGTCTCATTTCCACCCTGACAGATAGCCCTTCATACACCAAGCAGCCGTAGTCGAAGTGGGGGAATACAAGGGAGGCTCCAAGGAGCTGTCTGGTTTTTAGAGGAATACAATCACGGAATCTTAGGAGCTGTTTAAGGGCAGTTATGGATTTTCGGGTAATCTGGGAGATATGATTATCTCAGGAGAGGTTCATATAGTCCTAGGTAATCCTATATTTCTTTGATAATTAAGCTATATATTAAGCTTTGTATTTTTCTCAAAATCAGTTTAATATTTTTGGTTTACTCCTATAAAGACTATTTTCTATTCCACATTTTTTAAAGATTAATTCTTTAATTTATTGCACTAAAGTTTTCATGACATACTTAGAATTTTATTTTCTAATATTTATTAAAAAAGTAAGAATTTTCATATTTCCTTTATACTTCTTTTTTTCTCCCCTTCCTCCCCTTTTAGACTATACAGAGTTTTTCCTGGGCCAGGAGAAATGGAGGACGAAATTATATTAGAGTTAAAAATTTCCTCTCACCACCATTTGAACTCATAATCTTCGGTTTTCAGGACTTTGAGCAACGCCTATTTTACACAAAAAATTACAAATATTAGTTTGGTTTCTTATACCCCAATTAAATTAGTTTCCAGAATAAAAGAGTAAATATGAAGTATAGTATTTTTTTATTATTGATTTCAAATCAAGGAATTGAATTATTGAGTTGAAATCAATGAAATAAAGTGCCACTTCTAGTAAGCTGATTTTAGAGATAAAGTTACATTAACATCCTCAGCTTAAATATATCTTAAGTACGTAATTGTAGTTTCATAGGACTTATATTTTACAGTTTTTTATTAGGTTTTTACTTTTTAAAAAACAGATATTTGAATTAGGTAGCTCTAATTTATAAACATTAATTTCTGTTGATTATACTTTATTTTTTGTTTTAACACACTTTTTTTTTAGTTCCTAAGTTCATCTGTGAAGTATGTGGAAGAAGATTTCGCATGAAAAACAGTCTAAACATCCATTTGCAGATGCATGAAGATCATTATCCTCACCAGTGCTCTGAATGTAGAAAAACATTTAGAACTAGAAAAGAGCTTAACCAACACAAGGTTGTTCATGATACAAGTAAATGATTTTTATATTACTGTATCTGATTTATTGGTAAGGTGTTTACTAAGAGTTGTTTGATGTTTGCACTACATTTTCCTATCACTACTAGATAAAAAATGTATTGTGATCGGGTCAAATTTCCGATGTGTAGTTTTCAACTGATCTTTACGTTTTAGAACCTTCTTTCATATACATCTGTGGTTTGAATCCAAGTATTATTAATGAAATGGGGAAGCAAATAGTTTACTCCTGAGACAAATATGTATTACTTTTAGTTACCTATACATGTAATGGTAAGTATTGTGATGATGAACATTTTTGAATCTGAGTTTTCAACGGAAATACACGTTTTGAGGTCCTCTGAGTCTAAATAACCAAGTCCCACAAAATGTTCTGTGTGTATATGAACAGTCTAGCTCAAAAACCAAAAGTCGTATATCAACGGTGAAACACATTTTTACAATTTTCTCAAAAATGGCTCTAATGATTTTGATTAAACTCGGTGTATCATTGTATAATTAAGTGGTCTTTAATATCATGTAGGTCTTATCCTTATTGATGTCGCTTTACAGGGATTAAAGGCCCAATGTTCATGTACGTCTTTCTCTTAACTACCTTTAATATGGTTTATTTATCTCTCTAAAAAATCTCTCTTTTATTGATAGTAACTATAAAAAAATGGCTAAATATGAACTTAGCAAGAATATGATAATTGGAAACTGCAGAAGAATGCTTATGCAGGTTGAAAATGATTCTCCAGAAATAACAGTCAGCGAGGATGCGTATAATATATCATTGTAAAGCGGAGAATTTTAGAAAAAATAATATCAAATAAATAATGATGTAGAAGAAAACGGAGAGTGATAAAAAATATATAAATAATAATTTCAGAAAACTAACATTATTTAACATAAATCACATGTTGCCAAGGAAATTTTATATTAAAACACTTTATTCAGAAATATTACAATTTGTCACAGTTTAAGGACACTTATAATAGAGTTCAGAGATTGCATTCATACCGTATATGCAAAAATATAAATAAATAAAGTAATAACAAAAGAATAAGAAAAAAGAACAAAAGAGTAAAGAAAAAAAAAAAATATATATACATAAGTAAATAAAAATAGAAATAAAAGTAAAACAAACACCTTATATAAAACATACCTATATACATTATTTACAATTTGCCAGGTGATCTCTGAACCAATCCTGTCCCCTCCACATGTGGAGGGAAAAGGGAGGCCTAGGAGATCCCTACGCTTCTCCCTCAGCCACTTCACTGGTATTTTAAACCAGCGGAGGATGAGTAAGAGCGCTACAGCCACAGACACTCATGACTTGAGTGGAGAATCTGGCCATTGCTAGAACTCCAAAATATCCATATTTACAAAAGGTCTCGTGGCCACTGCCGCTTTAACCTACGAAGGGGATTGTAGGGATGGGTGGTGCTTGATAGGGATTGTACAACGGGATTTGGGTGATGAGAAAGGTTCTGGTGAAAATTGGAAAATTTGGCTGGGATAAGATCAAGAATAAATGGGATATTAAGGTCATGATGTAGGGTTTTATTGGTTACATAGAAGGGAGCATTGACTATTGTACGGAGGACTTTAGACTGAAAGGATTGAATGCGTTTGATGTTAGAAAATTTGGCTGTTCCCCATAGTTCTAGTCCGTAAGTCCAGATGGGTTTCAGTATTGTCTTGTAGATCAGTAATTTGTTTTCACCAGAAAGTTTAGATTTTCTATTCAGTAGTCTATATAGCTGGCCATATCGTCTGTTAAGTTCCTGTCTTTTAAGTCGAGTATGTGGATTCCATGTTAGTCGTCTGTCTAAGAGAAAGCCAAGATACCGGACTGTATCTGAGAAAGGAAGCTGGATGGAGTTAAAATAAACTGGTGGGCAGGTATTACGCCGAAGGGTGAAGGTAATGTGTTTACATTTAGATTCGTTTACCTTAATGCGCCATTTCTTACACCAGTGTTCAATCAGGAAGAGGTGCCTTTGTAAGTTTGCGGACGCTGTTTCAGGATCTGAGTTGGAAGAAAGGATAGCAGTGTCATCAGCGAAAGTTGCCAGGAGGGTATCGGGATGGACAGGAATATCAGCGGTAAAGAGAATGTAAAGGATGGGGCCCAAGACGCTGCCTTGAGGAACGCCAGCCTCAATTGAGTAACAGTCGGAGAATTCGGTGCCACAGCGAACTCGGAAGGAGCGGTCGGAAAGATAGGATCGGAGTACTAGGTATAAGGACTGTGGTAGATGGATTTTAAGCTTGAAGAGTAATCCGGCGTGCCATACCCGGTCAAAAGCTTGCGCTATGTCCAGAAATGCACCCGAGCAATACTGCTTGCTTTCTAGGGTTGAGGATATATGGTCAACAACTCGGAGTCCTTGCTGGACAGTGGAATGTTGGGAACGAAATCCGAATTGATGAGTAGGAAGGTTATAGGATTCAATTATAGGTAGGATTCGTTTCAGTAGGATCTTTTCAAAAATTTTTGAGAGGATTGGGAGTAGGCTAATTGGTCTATAGGATGCTGTATTGTTGGAAGGTTTGCCTGGTTTCAAGAAGAGGACGATGGTGGAATGTTTCCATAAAAGAGGGAAGTGGGTAGTTCGTAGGATGCAATTGTATATATATGTAAGAAATATGATGGCTTTAGATGGAAGTTGTCGAAGGATCTGTGGGGTTAGAAGGTCATATCCAGGAGATTTGCGAGGAGTGATTTTCCGTAAAAGGTATTTGACCTCAGAGGGATTAACAGCTTTAGGTGGTAAGGAGAGTGGAATAGGTATTGAGAGGGATTCTTCTACTTTTACTGTGTGGCTGGGATGGGATTCCGGATGAGGAGCGAAAGTATAGGAAAGGTGTTTGGCAAATTCTTCGGCTTTATCTTCATCAGATGCTGCCCAGGAGCCATCATTTCGTCGAAGAGGGTGGGAAATATGATGGGATTTGAGGATTTTTCTGGTGTAATTCCAAAGGGAATTATCATGAGCAGAGAGTGTGGTTAGGTAGGAATTGAATGATTGGGATCTGAAGGTGGCTAATTCTTGTTTTAATTTTTTACAGTGATAATTGTAGGAGTGGCGGTCGGCTGGATGTCTGGTACGTTGCCATAATAATCTGGCACAGCGTTTTATGTGGATTAGGTCAAGGAGGTGTTGAGGTAAATTATGTTTCTTAAGGATTTTTGAGGAGTGATCAGGGGAGGAAGCAGTCCAGACTGCTTCTTGAATTTTGATAGTGAAGGAATGTACTGCATTGTCCAGATCTTCAGGGGTTTTCAGGGTTACTCTGAGGTCAATTTTACCGGAGAGGATTTGATGAAAGAGTTTCCAGTTAACTGGCCCTCTGATGAAGGACGGAGGAGAGGGTTTAGGAATAGGAGCTAGTGATACTTGGAGTATTAATGGGCTGTGGTCTGAGGAAAGCTCCTAAGCACCTAAACCACTATGGATAAAGAAATCGGGATTACGGTTAGGAACAGTGGGCCAGTAGGTAGGTGAGTTGGGTGGAAGAAGGGTAAAATTTTGGGAATTGAGTACAGACAGCAATGTTCGACCACGAGAATTCGTGGTTCTTGAACCCCATTGTTGATGCTTGGCGTTTAAGTCTGCACCCAAGATGAAATGATGTCCTAAGGAAATGAGGAAGGAACTAAATTGGATATTGGAGATGGATTGGTTTGGAGGGCAATACGCTGATGCAACGGTAATAGGAAAGGAGAAGGTTTTGATTACGACTGCGGTGGATTGTAGGAAATCGTGTGTAGGCAGTGGGAGAGGGATTGGTGCACAATGACTGCAGTACCGGCATGTGCTCTACCGTCAGGATGGTCGGTATGGTAAGTTATGTATTGTGGTATTTTTAGGAGCTGTTTTTTAGTCAGTCGAGTTTCCGTTATTAGGGCTACATCTACGTTCTTGTCTTCTAGTAAGGCTGTTAGTTCATGTATGTGATTTCTAACACCATTCGCATTCCAAAGGAGAATGGATATGGGTTTGATGGAAGTCATTTAAGGATTTTTTAAAGGAGGGATAAGGTGAGATACTAGGTTAGTGAGAAGTGATATCAGTGGGGTAACAAGGGATTTAAATTCTGAAAGAAAGGATGTCAATAAGCTGGTTAGATCTGTAGCATTAGGCGGTGGAGGAACATATTGGATTTGATGTTGGTGAGGTTGTTGTTGATTAGGTACATTAGGTGGGATAGGATATTGAGATTGGGGTTGAGTTTGCTCTTGCGGCAGGGCCTCACATTCATTAGTCGGGTCTCTACCCCCAAGTAGCTTGGCAAAAGAAACCTTAGAGTTCACAATTTTAGCGGGTCCTCTTCTTGGTTTAGGTGTATCATCAGGGTCCCTGGGTTTCATATATCTCGCTTTAAGATTTTTATAAATTTGGCAGCCTTTGTAGTAGGCTGGATGGCCTTCCAGACATAGGGCACAGACTGCTGGTTCTGTAATTGGTTTATTACACTCGCCAGACTTGTGTGTTTTACCGCATTTCACGCAGCGTGGTAAGTGGTGGCAATAAGACTTGGTGTGGCCATATGCTTGGCAATTATGGCACTGGATGAACTCTCTTTTTGGGTACGGTTTTTCGACCTTTACGCTGGTGTAGAAAATTCTATTCACATCGTATATTTTTTCGATCCCAGGCGATGGCTCTAGATCGACGAAAAATAAGGGCAATGGGATTTTATTCTTTACACCTGGTTGTTCTTTATTTTCTTTTAATACATTGGTTATCTGACGTATTTTGAACCCTAACGCCGTTAACTCTTCTTTAATCACTTCTGTTGGGGTTGAGGAGCGTAAATTTCTTATTACAACTCGTAGTGCTCTTTCCTGCTTCAACTGGTATGTGTGAAAGTCCGCGTTTGTGTCTGTTAAATATTTTACGATTTTTCGGTACGCTTCAGGTGTGGCCGGTATTATTTTTGTATCATTTATTCTGTTTAGGCATGTATAGCTACCTGGGCAGATTTTATTAAGTTGAGTACACAACAACTGGAAATTTCTCAAATTTTTGACAAAGATAGGAGGTGGGCGTGGTTCTCGGGGTATAGGTGCATCTTCCATTTCTTCCCTGTCATTTTCAAGCACCTGGTATGGATTAGGTGTAAAAAATGGAGATTCCATTTCTTGTGAAGACATACTTGGCAGTGGTTGAGACACAGATACTTGAGTGTTCGCTGGAGGAGTTCCGGGGGGTGTTAATCGCTTACTACGACGTGTTTTCTGTTTAGGCGGTGAATTACGAGGGGTAGATGCGTAGAGCCAACTGAATGGGACCTCTTAGTTGACATTACTTGGTGGTAATATCGCATATATAAAAAAAAAAAGAAAGGGAAAAAAAATAAATAAATAAAACTACGTCTGCGTGTTATTATGATGGATGAACCGCCGACTGTGAACCAGCCAGTTACGTGGCTGGGCCACAACTGGAGTGGGGAGCCGTCAGCTGTTATGGCTATAGAGATAAGGCTATAGACGCTAAACCACTAAATTCACTGTCTGTAATAGTACACAGTAAATAACAACACTACTCACTGTGGTGTTAGTCCATTGTTGTTGTTTTGATGTCTGCTTAACTAGTTTTTTTTTTTTTAAAGTAAAACTGAGCACTTATTCTACTAAAAAATAGTAAAACTGTGGGACACGACGTGAAATGTGGGTATTCAAATCAATCGCATGCGCAGAACTGCCAAGGAAATTAAATGAAATTTTCTTACTATATTTAAACTTTTAACTGTTTTTCTATGTGAAAAAAAAATTATTTAAAATTCACTGAATCAAGCCAATGCCATTGTTTAAAATACTATTTCATTGTACTTGTGTGAAAGGAGAAGTGAAATATAAAAATATTTCATAGATATGTATATAATATCAAATACATTTACTGTAGTTTAATAACTCTAGATAAGATGTTATATTTAAATAATTAGATATCTATCAGCCATTTATTGCCAAAAATCATCAAGTAACCTTAGAAAATTAAATTAGTGAATAATTTGATGAATTTTCCCTTTGTTAAATCCCAACATTATCCACTTATTAGTGTGGCAACTTTTGACCTATCCATGGCAGGCAATGAAAATCTCATAATTTCGTTTTAGTAAACTTTACATTGGAAAAAAAGAACAGATTAATAACTAATAGTCCTACAATCCATAATCATTTATAGGTTAAATATTCAGATATACTTTCAAACCTCTCTAGGCACACATGAGCCTTTCAGTTGACAGAATGACTAACCCCAATTTAAACATTCTTTATTATTAATTTTAGTGATGTTTCTAGTGGAAAAATTTAGACCTTTATTCACAGTTCTCTATTTCAACACTGCAATCACCTACTCTGGAATCAACTTACTCACTGTCTGTATATATAACTTTTTCTACTAGAAATATCTCTAAAATGATATTACTCAAAAATGTTGAAATTGGAGTTACTCATTCTGTCAACTGAAAGGCTCAGAGACTGAAGTCGTGTGATTTATAAAATCAGATGGAGTAACTAGATTTTTATTGCCTACCGTCGATATAATAAACTTTTTGTAATTTTAATGGTATTAATGATTTGTTATCTGTAAGCTTTAAGCTTTAGCTCCGTTTAAAATGCACTTCAAAAATTTTATAATAGCCCAGCATTGCCAGAAAATAATTGCTATTCAAAGTAGAGCGGTGAGTAAAAGTTGTGTGTTGCGTGCACCAGGTTTTTTTTTATTTGTGACTGTTTTTATCTGTCTGGTGTTTACAGTATTTAATAGCGATACACAATTTTTTCGTATCATAAAAAAATATTTTGATTTCAGGTAATCCAGGATTTGATTGTTCATTGTGTTCTGTCATGTGTGGCAGGAAAGATAATCTGCTTAGGCATGTGCGTAACTGCCATTTGGACCCATGTGCTAAAAAGGACCAAATGACCAAGAAAATCACTGAACATTCACAGGACAGTGATAAGACAGAAGTTCAGAATTCAATGGATTTAAATGGTGGTGACAGTGTCAAGGAATCTTCAGAAGGTACTGCTAATGAGCCATCATCCTTGGCTGGTGAATTTTCACAGACATCATCTGAACAAAATACTGATTGCACTACAAAAATTGGTATATTCTTATTTATCGATTATTATTAAAAAAAATGTTTACATCACTTAACATCTAAGTTTTTAGAGTAATAGAAGTAATACTGAAATAAACTGAATTTATTAACTCTATGAATGTATTATGCGCCATGTATACAGTTCATTTTATTTCTAAAACGTTAGTTTCGTTGCTTCCGCATATCTTAATAGGCTTATCGGATTAATAGACTCATAGCTACTAGGGTGATTCACTCGATCCTCCCCAAATAGCTCTAGTCTAAGCCTTGCAAACCTATCACATCGACAAATGATATGAAATGCTGTTTCATTCTCCTCCTGACAGAATCTGCTTAGTGGATTAGTGGTCACTCGGAGATTGAACATGTGATCATTTAACTTACAGTGGCCAGTATAGATCACTGTAAGCTATTTGAAAGCTGCTCTGTCCTAACTCAGTAGCAGCTTACTTCTTTTATCACATGCATCTTTAAGGAACAGCTTCGAATGTCATTGTTTCTTCTCAGTCCAGTGTTGTTTAAATTCTTCACTATATAACTCCCTAATCTTTCTTTTGGCAGCACTAAGACTGATTCCACAAACAGATCCAGGAGATATTGGAATAAGATCTGAGCCTAACCTGGCTAGATTGTCTGTCTCTTTGTTGCCAAGAATCAGCAAATGACCAGATACCCTCTCAATTACAACTCTATTAAGCTCAGACAGATTGTTTAGAGTTATACTGCATTCTTTAACATTATAATTATTTAGACCTATTGCTGCCTCAGTCACTTTGCCTGGCAAATTGCTAGTATCTCAGATTGAAGTACACAAGCATGTTTGCCAAGAGGTATTGAGACTTTTTCCTTGTTATCTTTTCGGTAGATGCCTGCTCTTGAGCCATAGGCTGTTAGAGGCTGTATCTGTATAACACTTTATACCATTTTTTGGTTTATGTTGTCTGCTGATATCAATCTCGATCTCATAGCACTGCGTCACACCCAATCCTATTCAGCAGTTTTGTATGTCCCCCTTGGCATCTTTTTAGTTTACTCAGCCTGTATAACGCATTTGTTGCCTGAGCCTCCAACTGCAATGGTGCCATGTTCAACATTATCTCCAGAGTAGCAGTTGGGTTGGAGCCCATTGCTCCCGTTATCATTAGACAGGCGAATCTTGAAATTTTTCCTAATAAGGTTGAATTAACTACAGTCTTTGCTTTATTCCGCCATAACAAAGCTGAGTATAATATAATGGGTCTGACTGGCTTTATATTAGCCAATATACTATTTTAGGTTTGAGCCTAATACTATTTTTTTCCTATTGCTCTTTTGCAGGCCCATAGGCATTTAAGAGCTTTACTTGTCATGTACTGAACATGTTTGGTCCATGAAAATTTATGGTCGAGTATGATTCCAAGGTGTTTTAATTTCTTGCTATGTGTCAATTGGATACCATTAATCTCTGGCATTTTGAGAAACACCTTTTTCTTCTTAATGAAGATGCAAACTCTGACTTTCTTTGGGTTGATGCTCAGCCCATCAGTGCTACATCAATTCCTCCGAATGTCAGTTACTGTTTTGAGGAGATCAGAGAGAACACTCTGATGCTTCTCCCCAATCAGGATAGCAATGTCATCTGCATATCCTGGTGTTGAGGGCTTCCAACTAAGTCAGCCACAAAACACCACAGTAAAGGGGAGAGCATACCTCCCTGTCCTTTGGTTTCTTAGCAGTTGGTGCTGAGGTTCCTAAGGATGTTCTGGTGCACTTTTCAGTCAATCAGTCAGTCTCGATCTTGGTCTCAATCTTTGTGGTCTCGCAGTCTTTGTTGCTGGTCTATGAGGCCTCGCAAACCTGGACGCTGGCCTTTGGGGCGACACCTTCTCTCCCTCTGCCTTTTGAAGCTTTCTCCTTTGGCATGCCAGCTTCATTTGCCATTCCTAGTGTGGCCCTTGCATCCTCCGCTACCTGCCCTTGAGTAGGTTTCAATATACTTTTTTTCTGCCCTGGATCAGAGGCCTCAGCAAGGTCTTTGGGAGCCCTTGCTTCCTCATCTCAGTGCTCTACTGGTGTCCTCTTCTCTTCGGGAGTATTTGACAGTGGAAGGGCCTTCGCTTTTCTCCTGTTATGCCTCTTCACGTTCTTGCTTGTCCTCGACGTGGCAGGCCTCACATCCTTGGATGCGTTGTCCCCGCCTACCGTCTGGTCGGTTCTAGATTGTGAGGGTCTACTTTCTGTAATACTTAAATTAGGTTTGTCGGTCTCTTTCATGTCCATGGATTCTGTTTAGGTCTGTGCAATAGCACTAGCCACCTCCATAACTTCCTCATCCTTCCACTCTATTTGGATATGGAGTGTGCTTCTTAATAAATTCTTGTTTTAGTTCAATATGGTGTGTTAGGTAAATTCAAAAGTCATTTCTTCATTACTACTCATTAATATTATCTTTTAATTTATATAATGCATATAAACTCACATGCTGTATTTTTTTTATAGGTTTAGTGAATAAAGGTTCTAATGGGAAAAAGAAAACCCGTTCTGCTGTGCATAAAAGATTGTCGAGCAAACAGAAAGGAAAAAAGAAGGAAAGTAGGGAATTAAAAAGGATTGGCACTGTTTGTACTGAGACTATTGCTACTCCAGGTCTTAATAATGCAGTAGAAAAAGTTCTTGTAGAGGATAAACCAGAAAATTTGAGAGGAGATAAGACATCTGTTTTGATAACACCTTCATCTATTGCTGAAGTGCCTGTAGACCTTTCCAAAAACGAATCTCTTATCACTGAAAGAAGTCAGAATAACGAGTTATCCTTTGCATCTGCAAAAAGGTCTGTCATTGTTCACACAAGCTCATTTCATAAACCATTACTTCATGAAGCAAACTTACAGCGAGAACCAGTTATTAAATTTTTCAGGATACCTCCAGAACCTAAATCTTTAGCTCCTGATCCTACTTAGATATTGACATCTTTTGTTATTATTATTATTATTTATTGTCGGTGTATATGTCTGTAAAGAAGTAAATTTACTATTAGATATTTAGTAATACTCCACAATACCAGCTTGTGGCCAGTGTTACACCAAATTTTCTAAATATCAAGTGACAAGAGATGCTGACTGCTATAGATATCTTGATAATAAGGTGTTTTTTTTAATCAGAAAAAAACATCCTCTCTGGACCCCAGCAGAGTATAATATGATACTAATTTCATCCATTGTTGATAGAGATGGTTTTAGATTGTTAAAGTGAAAATATAATTAATGTTAATGTAATCTGACCTTCCTTGTAAGTTTCTGTATCTCTTAAGATAAAGCATCTTTCTCTCATCTGTTGAGATAAGAACAACTTTTTTTTTTTTCATTGTTTCACAATGTACTTTGTTTTTTATTATAATTTTTTGCCCAAGACTTCTGTTGAAGTCCTATACTGCCAATATTGTCATATTATCAAAATGAGTATTGAATAGGATGTACTTAATTAATAGTGCTGTTTTGAAGGACATTTCTGTTGAAAGATATGTTTTTGTAAGGAATTCGGAAACTTTTCTAATTGTTATGTGGATAATCAACCATAAATTGAAGTTATGTGCAAATAAAGCCTTCTTTTCCTTATACATTTTTTTTTTCTGGGGAATTTGCATATTTTCCAGCTCTGGTTGAGAAGTCTATCTTCAAAATGATGACACAATCATTGGATTTAATACAGTGTTAAGGAAGATATGCAGAATGTCTACCAATCCAGAGATTCAGTACGGCTGACAAAACTCGAAAATCAGTTGGGAATGAATAGTAAATTCAAGAAAATCATCCTGAATTCTCAGCTTTAATATTATCATTCACTTTCAGTTGTGGGCTGGTTAATTTTGGAAATTTAAAGAACGAAAGAGAGTTTTGCCAAACATGAACAGGTGCTGACAAACAGTTCTTTCAGAAAGGCAATGTAACCAGTTATCTTCATCCTGGTCTGTATTTTTTTTCATTATAGCTTTTATGAATGAAACATCAATTTTAAATAATGAACCATGGCAATCAACAAAGAAAAAGAAAATTCACACCCCTCCCTATAAATTTAATTAAATCTTTCAAGATAGACAGAAACCAAAGTTCGATTTAAAATATCACCCATCTGATGTAGATTTCTCTGAGACCAGTGGGGAAATTTTTTTCTGATTGTCTTATTTAAACATGTCACACACACCTGAATGATCCTTGGAACTCAACATTACCATCTGTCATTTTGTTTTTTAATTACAGCAGATTAGAAATTTCATAGAACCAGTTCTCAGCCATTTATGAAGATGGATGGAAAAAATAAAGTGTTTTTGATGATTATACCACACATTAATTATTTAAAATAGACTGATTTATATTAATGTTTAAAGTAGTATTTGAAAAAAGAATATTTTTATAAATGATCTTATGTTTATTATAAACATTAATAAAAATTATGAAAAAAAAAGAGAAGGAAATTTGAATGATTATCTAGAAAAATTATTGTGAATATATTTACAGTCTTAATTTATTAATTAATACTTCACCTGTAACGCTCTTATGATAATAACAATTATTCTTAAAAATGTTTTACTCTGGTTTGAATTTTTTTTTTGAACACCAAACACTAGCTGCTCTTCCACCTGCTACCTACTACCCTTTTTTCACCATTATACAATTTATGTTTGTTTAAATTAAAGTGATTGACGTTTTCACAGTGTCGTGCTTCTTTTTTTCAAGTAAATGATTATCATGTTTTAATTTTATATTTTATGCTGAATTTTGTCATTCTTTATAGTTGTAAAATTCTGTCAGTGAAACTGAATTTTTGGTTTGTTAAGTTTTGCCTTATGAAAAGCTGTCTGGTTTCTTTATGAGTTAACCTCCACCATTGTTGCATCAAACAGTTAATATTATTTACTAAAGCTCATAACATGAACATAATGTATGCTACTATTCCGGGAACTCATGGCAAAAAAGGTGTCATATTTCATACTAAGGTTTGTCCTTATAAATTGACCATATCCACAAGCCTGATAAGAAAAATACTGGTCTGCCAGCACATAGCCACTGGAATACAAAATGGCAGCCAGATGAAGATAAAGACCCCATATAGGTGGAAAACTTATATAAAGAGAGGGCATATGGATATAGAAAGCTGAATGGGGTATAGTTGGATTCAGAATTTCATGGGGAATTAGTGAAACCTATACTCCACTTTTGTTTTTCTTTCTAAAATAAATAAAGTCGATATAATCATTTTGCTATGCTTCAATATTGGAACGGTGGTAGGTCTGTAGATTGGTACGGGAAAAATTGGACCTTGAAGATTTTGATGCATACTGCAGGGGCTGGACAGTTACCTCGGAACTTCCGGCTCTGCGTTTTTGAGCCCAAAAACGTACTATTTTCGAGATAATGCAAGGCATAGGGTTCGGGTCTACCCAATTTCACATCGATTATAAGGAATATTCGAGAGTGTTTTGCTATAAATATAATTATAATTTTTTTAAGCAAGACCAATTTACGTACACATAAGCAAATGTATCTGATGGAATATGACAAAAATTAAAATGTTGAACCCTTTCTAGTTAAGCACTAAATGTCTTTAAACTTTGGGCAAATCTTACAAGCGATTTTGAAATATAGTGTAGAAGTGGATGAAATGTGATAAAATTGATATAGATCTATATGGTATCAACCTGCACTACTGAAAATTTTAATAACCTACTCCCTCTTCCAAGATATTTTATTGCTCAACTTTTCTTAAAAACAGAGCAAGCGAAGGTAAAATTATAAAAATTGGAGTTCATATTCAATCACACTTCTCTGTTCTGTTCCATGTTTTCACCTTGCCCCTGATTCCGAAAATTTATAACCCCCGTCGAAATGTACTTACCCTCTAACTAAAATTCAAAAACCCGTCAAAATATGTCCCCTTAAATCCCCTGGGAGGCATGGTGGAATGGCCGAGCGAGCTAACGCGCATGTACTAAACATGCGCTGCACCGCAACCTTAAATTGAACACGATAAAATAATTAGGAGTTCGCGTCCCGTTGCCTAAGGGGAGAGGAGCTATTAATATCTGGTCCGGGAAAAACTACGTGTAGCCTAAAAGAAGGGGAAGGAAGAAAGCAACAAAATAAAAAATGTATTTATGGAATTCTATGGTTTTGACTACAGGCTAATCAATGGTGAAATCTGTCCGTCTAGAACATAAAATACTAGTGAACGTATACTGGCAATAATGTTTTTCATTTCCTATATGAATACAAAGCTTCATAACCTTGCGTAGGTGTAGAAGCAAAATTATATTTAAGCATAATGTCTCGCGGAGCTTGAGCCATCCCTCCACCTCTCCCTCCCCCCTCAATGCTGCCGTGGTGCAGGCTCAGCCCTTCCAACAAATTGCTGTAATACGGAGATTTCGATCGTGTACATTATTCTTCCATTTCAAAGGACTATCTATCTACTGGCAGGTATAGTGGAATTTGTTTTTGCGGTGTCCTATTTTAGGTTCATTAACTCAACTGTATTCAAAGTATTTTGTGTGATTCAACACTTTTTTGTCATCAGGAAGGGCTTGAAACAACTCAATATTTGCCTGGGATGGTAATTTTCATATAGGGTATATTCCAAACAATATCTCCACCCCGTGATACTATAGTTTGGCTCCCCTAATAATTTTAATGAGACGGCTACTATGTATGTAAGATAAATTTTATTGACTGTTTGGTCAATAAAATTGGATTCATGAGTTCTAGAGGTTATCAAATTTTTCATTTAATATTACATAACTCTGTCATAGATCTATATTTAATAAAAAAACAGACAAAACTTATTTTGAAAATAAACCAAAAATTGCAAAGCATAATATTTGATTTTAAAAGTACCAAAACATTTCAGTCCAAGTCCTAACCCGACTGGATGTAAACACTTGACCCTTAGAATTAAAATATTAATTCTTTCTACTTTTTCAAATTGAAGCAATATTGTAATAATAGGCGTGAATTTCATGAGGTTATCATTATCTATGAACTGGTTGACATGTTTGGTTCTGTTCATCTTGAAATAACTATAAGTCTAATGAGCAAAACCTGTTCTTAACACTAGAGAGCCTTAAAAAATATATGAAATTAATGTTTAAAACCTTTATTCAGTAATGGACCGTGACATTCATGAGATTCATTTTCTTTACAATTACATATGGGCTATAAAAATGATTATTTTGTATCATGCTTAGAGTTATACATACTCTAGCAACAAAGACTAACCAAATTTTTGAAAAGTGTCCAATTGAGAGCTATATTTTTGAAACAGTGGGACATTAGATTTATGTTTTTTTTTTTTCTTTCAAAATGATTCACTCATGTTGATTTCAATTTTTGGTACCTGCACTTCAAGGATTGAGAAGAAGAAAATTCTTCCAAACCTAAAAAATGTATTTCTTTCACTGAGGTAAGTGCTTTGGCCTAATTACTTGTGTCTTTTTATATTATAAATAAATAAAAGAAAAAAATCCTGAGCCAATCAGCCTTTTTCAAGTTTGTGAATACTTCAAATTTTTACTATAACACTCAACCAGCTTTAATTAATCATACTTTTGGGAGATTCTTCGTTAATTCGAAGGCACGTCATTGATCATTGGACTACATATGATTTGTAATTGAACCAGTTGTAATGGCTTGCTTATTTAAATATGGAGTTTATTTACTGTACTTACTCAAGAAAAATATTTTAGTAGTGTTATGTTGACCATCTAGAAGTTTTCAAAGTTGATGTGGTGCTTGAAGTCGTGTCGTCTCGGGTTCGTTTGTATATTTCTTAAAACTCTCTTTTCTAATATGGATATGTTTTCCGTCTGCTAATGGACGGTAATTAGTAATAACTTAAGTTTCAGAGAGATGTTCTCACTAACCTTTTGATTTTATTTGTTCTTTTATTTATAACTAGATGAATTATTTCAGCACCTTGTGCACCAACTAAATATTTTCATTTTAGTTAAATATTAACTTTTTCTATGTATTAATTGTAGTATTTAAACAAATTTTGAAGGAATCAACTACAAAATAATTGAAAAAGGATAGTCGGTTATATCACCACCTTTGAAGATCACCCCGAATTAAAATAATTATTTTATCTCTGTGGAATCTTAAATATTCTGTCAAAAATAGTAGATTTGTTCCTTATTGTTTAAGTCAGGTTGGATTGAGTTGGATGTATTAGTTTCATTACTTGGTATTCACCTGCTTCTGTCGAAATACACAAAATATTAATAGAAATTTATGGAGGTTTCTTCTTAATAAGAAAGAAAGTGTAAACAAATTATCAGATTCGCTCGATAAGTAATGCATATAGAGGTGACCAAAATCGTGACGTACACACTAGACCACCAAACCTCCGTATCGTTCTTTCAAGAAAATCACTGTTGCTTGCATATTATTGTGCCTTCTTTTTTTCTATTATTTAATTTACTGAAGAAGACACCCTTATGCATATTTGACATAAAATTGAATATAATGAAAAAAATATCGTAAAAAACCAACATTGTAAAAAAAGTTGTTAAGCCAAAATTTCAAGGCAATCGGTGAAGAACTTTCCGAGATTTACAATGTTGTACCAACAAACATTTTTCATTTTTATTTACCATAAAATGACGAAACAAAGTTTAACATTAGACAATGCATTAAATTTAAAAATTATTAATAATAAAATTAAACATGAAAATCTTCGAATCAAAGACAGATCTCTGTCATTTTCAGAATATGGAGAAAAAAATCAATTTTTGTTTTATAGATTCAGTTCAAACTGTTTCTGATGATTTTATTTAAGAATATTCATCATGAAAAAAAAAATCATCATTATTTGTTTAAATTGAAGCTTATTTAATTAATTAATGTCACAGACAAATTTTGTTTCTCAACTTCTTAAAAAGACAGATTTCCTTTGATATTATGCCTCTCATATGTGCTTTATATTTTCTTTCTTTTCCATTTTGCCATACTGAGCCACAGAAGCGCGTGGCGGGGTAATAAAAATCAACAGTTTATTTTTTACTAATAAAACCAAAATAGAACGCAGATTTAAAATAATCATTTTAGAATTTTATTACAGCAATTAAAATTGATATTTTAAACAAAGGTATCTAAAATTTCTAAGTGACAACTTAATTATAATTTTTCAAAGAAATAGTTAAAATAAAATAAATGTTGTTTAGTAGAGCAACATTTAATATGTTATTAAAAATATCTACAATCCTCCATGCATTTAAATTGACTTTCTTTTGCACATTAATCTAAACAAAGGTATCTAAAATTTCTAAGTGACAACTTAATTATAATTTTTCAAAGAAATAGTTAAAATAAAATAAATGTTGTTTAGTAGAGCAACATTTAATATTTATTAAAAATATCTACAATCCTCCATGCATTTAAATTGACTTTCTTTTGCACATTAATCTACCTATGTTAAGAAACATGAATAAATTAATGTATTAATTTATAAGGATAATATCAATCAGGTGAGTTCCATCTCAAGTTAGTGTGGGTCTAAAGCTATTCGGGAACAATCTTGAACTGGATCCGATGTCTTTGGAAGTTCTTCCTTGCCAATTCCACGTCCTACATTTTACAACTCTGGTGGATGAATTTTGAGTTAAAAATACGCTAACCTATTTTCTGGAGACTTGCGTCTTTTACAGGACGTCGGTTGTTTATTTTTGGTTTCTCTTCAAGGTCAGATGTTGATATATATATATATTTTCATTTGGCGTTATGTAGATCTTTAAACGCACCATGTGGTCATCGTACAGAGGTGTATTTCTTATGGTAGCACAGATAGCCTTGATATATCACGTTACAAAGGACCATGGTCTTCATGTGCAATGGCAGACCACCCTTAACTTCTTCGCCTATCCCTTAGGAGCCAATCTGACAGTTTCTTTCTCACCCTCGAGTTCAAGGATAGTGAAAAATCTTTCTACATCCATGTTGTTTACATACCACTGTTAATTAACATTAAGAAACATCCGTCGAGTAAGGGATTAAACCTACCTAATATTATTGGTTGCCAATAAGTTAGAAGTGATGGAAGGGGACATATTTGTGAGGTGTTCAGTTGAATATTATGCACAACAGATTCCTTCAACGCAAAGTTATTACATAACTTTCAAATGTCTTTCTTTCTGCCTTTTACCTTCGAAGGTAATTAACGTTGATATCAACAGAAGTGTTGGTTGGCGATTTGGTGTAATTACAATTAGTAGGACTAGAATGTAAACTGTTTACCTACGACCCAGATATGGTTCAAGACTCCATGTACTACTATTGTGAAGCAGAGTTTTTCTTATAGTATCCGTAACAACCTGTTTGCAAGGACAAGAGCCTCTATGAATGACCTTAAGGTCATTGGAGTTGAAGTACAAAACGTCTTATAGGCCCCGAAGGGCAAGAAAATTTTCACTGCGTGCATAAGCGACCACTGGAATGGAGTAATCTCCATAGAACGGACAATAAAGGCATCTTGTCGTGTCAAACCGTTTGTACTGCAACGACGGAGGAACAAGGTCTGGGAGAAAAACTAAACCAAGGAAGTTTTAAAGCATACGTTCATGCTCCATCACAGTATACAGAGAAAATTCACAGATTGATAACTAGTGTTTCAGAATGAGGCTGTGACTGTCATAAACTACCTGAAAAAAGTTCTCCAATCTGTTGTTCTAGCGGTGCTCAATACATTAATGAAAATTCTTAAATTTGAAAAATGGTCTGGCTGTGCAGTAAAAAAAAATTATGTTCATTTACCAAAGTTCTGGCCCTAAGAATTAAAAAATTATATAATCACTACTGGTCCGAGACAAATTTGGGATGAAGCGAGATCCAATTTTGGCTTCCCCTGGTCATAATAGTTTATTTAAAAAATAGGACAAATTTTACAAGGGTATGGACCTAGCCACTCCATTCGCCTTATGGTTAGGCCTATCCTATATGTAAATAAGAAAAGAAAAAGATGGAATCTACAAATTTCTTTATGTATTCACATAAAATTTGTAAACGATATTTACATTATTTTATATTTTCTGTTTTTTTTTTTTTTTTATGTACTTTTGTTTTACTTAGTTTTTCAGCCCTGATGAAGACCTAATGTTTATGTCAGAACGTCGGCAAACTCAAACAAGTTTTCAACTACATATTCTGACCATTTTATACCCTTACAATATAATTTTAATAGGCAACTATATACCCTTTAGTTCAAATTAGGTTTGTGTACTTCATAGTATTTTAAACCTTGTCCAGAAGCTTTTCTTCTCAAGTCTAGAAATGGCTGCATAAGGTCTTTCATAGAGTCTTGATTTGATGCTTTTTCTATTCCCAAAATTTAATTTTACGAATTTTTAAAAAATCCTGTTATTGACCTCAAGGTAGCTGTTTGAATTCGGGTTCTGTCAATTCCTTCAAGGCTAGTTGTGTTTTTATTTTTTCTCAAGCCTTTCAAAGCTCTATCAGTATATTATCAAAGAATGGGATAATATCACTAATATAATTCACCATCTTCTTATTGCGAGGATTTCAAGGAGTTGAAATATTTGTTTATGATTGTTTTCTTTTCTCATTATCATTTCTCTTATTAAGGAAGGTAGGAAGTTGAATGAGAGGGTAAGTAAATAATATCTTGATTTTTTCTAGGTGTACCACTTCAAATGCTGAGTTGTACATGTACTAATATATTACAGTATTTGATATAATTTTTACAAATCCTGGAATATACGTGCAATACCAGAAACATCAAATGTATTTTTGAGCGCTGGAGGTGGATGGATTAATGTAGAACTAAACTAAACATATAGAAAATTCTAATTATTTTTAGAAATACTAATTTTGTTTAGTTCTTTTTTTTGTTGTTGTTTGCACTGGACAATTTTCAATGTTTCTTTCATACATATTTTATATTAACAAGGCAGAATAACAATGTATGTAAATTGTAAAAAAAAAAAAAACACAAGTTTTTAACAAGGAGCTACGAAATAATAATTTATAAATAAATAATGAATGCTTTCCAATTATTTTTATAAGAGTAGAAAATACAAACTTCACTACCTTAGGTAGTGCAGAAGGAAAAAGTATATCCACACTATTTTTTTACACAATACCGAGTAAAAATTTCATAATTTATTTTAACTTTCTTAATACTTACAATCTGTAATTTGGATGAATTGAAGTTCTTATAATATACTTTTTATACAATTATTACTCTACTAAAATATAGCAAAACCCAGCTTCAATTACTAAATTTTGAAAAAACAAATTCTATTATTCAGAAAAAAGACTGAGGGTAGTCAAGACATCCATAAATTAAATAAACAATAAAGGAAAGTTGAAAAAATATATATATACTAATAGCCATAAATTCATTATTTAAAATAAGGAACCTGATATCACAGCTTAAACCACACTCCAAACTACAATTTAAGGAAGACTATTAGAAGTGAATAAAATATTTTTAATTATTAATTTTTAGAAGAGAAATGTTTTTATACTGTTTTCTCGACAAATTATTCTATACGATTGAATAATTTTTCTTTACTACATGTAAATAATGATTTATTTCATAAGCTAAACAAATTTACATTTGATTTCATATTTTCAGTAGTTTGCTTAATTTTATACAGTTACTTAGGAAGGTATTTGAAGCATACAAAACTGAAAGTGACGAATGATACACAGCCTTATTTGACTCCTAACTATCTTAATTTAAAATTCAGAGATATTTTCTATTACAATCAAGGTCTTGAAGTGAGTCAAACCAAATAAAATAGATTCAAATGAGAAGTTTTCAACTAAAATAAAACTGAGATAAAAGGATAGGAAAATTTAAAACTATATGCTAAGCTAACTCAGTAGATAGCGTACAGCAAGTTTTATGTTATCTAATGAGATGTACAGGAACTGTTATAAAAAAATTAAATTACTTAGTTTCTTTAACAATTACTGCTTTAAAAAAAATAAAAATTTGTAAACCATTAAATTGACAGTTGTATAATATATAATATAATGTGAAAAATTATATTAGAAGTTTTTATTCTTTTAGCACAATATAGCATAAATAGCATGACCTATTTATAGTGCCTAAGTTTGTAGGAATTTAAAAACACAGGTTGATGCTTATGATATCAGATTTTTAGCAGTTTTTCCCTCCTACACTCATCAAGTGAAATATTTTATGAACAGATGGCATAGCTATTAGTAACTTTGTACTGTTAATATCACTAAAATAAGTTACTTATAAAATAATATACATTGTTTCTTTTAATATAGGGCAGTGAAAAACCGTTAACAATGCTCGTACATAATAAAAAAAGTTTGCGGTCTTATATTTACTACATAATTTCATTATAAATAAACTAGCGAATAATTAAAGAAAATCATTATCTTATAGAATGTTACTTTATACAAAAAAGTTAGTTTGCGGTTATATACATTCTATAATTTGAGTATAAATAAAACGAGACAGAAAATAATTACTTAACATCGAATAAAAAACGAATTTTATGGTATCAAACAGTCCATAATTTATTTATGTCTAAAGAGGGAAAATTCAAATAAAATGGTTCCTAATATGTACAATACGAACACAATAAATTATTTCATAGGTATGAAGATTTAACTTTAGTTTTTACAATGAGATCTATAACATTTAATTATAAAATGTTATAATGTCCAGTCGTCAATGTAATAAAATTTGCTATGGGTAATTCTAATTTATAGAGCTAATATTTATTCTATCTTAAAATTAAATCTCTCACTCTTGAATTTTTTTATTATACAAATTATGAAAAAAAATTGACTATCTACATTCGCTTAACGCTATTAACATTCTTAAGATAAGAATCTTAATCTCTTTTGGTCAAAAATAAATATATACAGATTGAATATACAGTTAAAAAACCATAAATAAAATATGATTTCATTATAAAAATCAAAAATATTTCATAGAAATATTTGAATTAAGAAGCAGATGGAGGTTGACCAGCTGCATGAAGAATGATACTGCCTGGCAGGCTAAAATCCCCGAGTCTTTTTTGAGTGTCCACTGCTCTCACAATGAAGTGGTATTTATGACCTTCAACGAACTGAAACAATCCAACACAGCCCATATAAAAATCATATTTCCACAACTTTATTGTAATATATTAAATCAGAGAAGAAAAAAAATTACAAAAATAATGCTGTGACGAATCTTTGGCAATAGACAAACAGACTCTTATTGTTTATTACTCTTATGCATACAATTTAATCATTCAATAAAGTGATAAATTTTGGTCAGGAAAAAACTACAGTGCAATCTTTAGTTACCCAAATTTTGGTAATTTGAATGCTCTACTATTTTGAACTGGATCATGACACACAAATTTGAATCACTTAAACACATTCACCTGCACCATACATACACATTAATTACTGAGACAGTACCTTATTATATTTATTTTAAACTTACTTCTGATAGTTGAAATCACTAAAACACAAGGTATATTTTCTTTGAACACATATAGTCAAATTTCCTGACTAAGAAGTAGTTGGAGGTAATATAAGAATAGAAGTGAAGGAAGTCCACAAATTACAATAAGTCAGTAGTTCCCCTAATTGTTCTGTTTAAGTAAAGGAAACCCCTACCATGCTTACTACACTAACACATTTAAAGTTTTATTTTAAAGGTTTCTGAGAATATATTAATAGATTTGATAGTATGTGCTCTTAATGAAACATAGTTAAAATCACATATTAACTTTTTGGTAAAAATGCAAATTTTATAACATATTTTCTTTTGAATAATAATAAACATATACCACATTATAAAAGTAGAATTATGCCATTTTCTACATTGCTAACATAGATAATATCTCAATGTAATGTTTACAATAAAAAAAGCTCAATAAAATTTTTCAACGTAAAGATAGCAAAAGTAGTACCCTCCTATCCACCTAAGCAAAACAGCTAAAGCACTGGGAAGAATATTTCCCAGAGGTGCTAAACAAAGAATGCATGGAAGCACAGAAACCACATCTTTGGTTGCCGTTTCCTGGAACTATTGAGATTGATGCATCTCCTCACTGAAGCATTGCCAGAAATTAATGGTAAATTCTCAGCAATTGAAACCGTTTTTGAAGAAATTCTTGGGCCACTTATCAGGAAATATGAGAAGAAGAGGAAGTGCCAGAATGGGCTCAGTAGAAGTAGAAGAAAGGGCTCATTATGAAAATTCTAAACACAGGTGACATTTCTGAATGCACTAGATACACTCCTTCCAGTACTGTAGTAAGGTGCTAAACTAGGAGATCATGAAGACGATCAGGCAATTAGTTGATTAACGTTTGATGAAGGAACAAGCTGGTTTCAGGAGCACTACAACTGCACCAATACCCGGTTGATAATACTGGAGCAGTGTTGAACGACAGAGCCCCTCAACCTAGAGTTAGGGACGGCTGAATGTTGCCTGTCGTAGCATTCTCATGCCTAGCGATGCCAGTTCAAATTCGGCCTGTGAAGCGTTGACTTTTGACCACTGAATGGAACTTGACCTTCCCATTCTGGTCAGAATAGGTTTAGTTGTGCCTCAAGAACAACTCCTCTCCCCGTATGCCACTAATGAAGGCTAGGGAGTAATCAAATAAAAAAAGAGCCCTTGTACCTTTCTTTTATAGATTTTGAGAAGGCATTTGACTCAATCAACAAGAATATCAAGAGTAAGATCCTAGAGTGGTATAGGCTCCTCAGCAAGATTATTAATCTTATAAGCCAACATGAGAGAGGCACACTGAAAGCCAAATTGAGCAAAGTGAAGCAGGAATGTTTGCTATAACCAACTTTGTTCATTATTGTTCTTGACTGACATACAGAATTCTATGGTGATTGAGGGAGAGACTGAGGAATTTGAATTTACAGAAAAGTCTCCTAATGTATATATATATACAGACTTAAAACGCAAGTTGGATGCACTTAGCCAAATCGAAAGCCAAGTTGGACAGGAAATCAATGCAGGAAAGACAAAAGAGATGAAGATGAATGAGAGATGCCAGGGTCCTCTTGTCCTAATGGATGACATTGTGAAACCAGTTAACTTCTCTATCTACACTCTCCCACTACAAACCTTTGTTAACCAATGTATACGTAGAATAATGAGAATTTGGTGGCCAGAACGCATATTTAATGAAAAACTATGGAAAGCAACCAACCAGCTCTCAATCCATTAGGAAATAAGGAAGAAAGAATGGAAAATACAGTTCTTCAATGAAGTTTTCAGAGAAAAAAGAAGGAAAGGCACACAAACACAGATGTGATGCAGGACTGTAGAAAAGGAATCAGGACGGGTTGGTAAGTCACAGGAAAAGGAGGATTGTTGCCGATCACAACGAATGGAAAACACTAATAGATACCCTATGTTTCAGTGAGAGTCCAAGGAATGAATAATAATAAAAACAAAATATTACAAAAAATTGGTTAAGGATTGCTTAAAAATGAATGAAGAACTAAACCAACCTGAGTTAAAAAACACGCCATGGGTAAAGGAAGAGCTTTGATGTCCCCGACCTTCTTCCAAGTATCAGTCTTAAGCTTTTCAGAGTTTTTACTTTCTTGATAGGCAAAAAGTTGATACTCTTCTATGTTTGGTGGATTACGACCACCTTCAAAACTCCAGGATAACATAATGCCTTGTTTTCCTAAAAAATAATATTGTTTATATAAATCAATTAAAACAATAAATATATTTCACTTTCTAGTTTTCTATTTTCAAATTTATTTATTTATTTATTAACAGCAGAATACCTGAAGTGTTCTTTCCTATCCTCAAAATGGGCCTTGGTGGTTTAATAATATTAGGAGGATACTTGGGTGAAACAGGATATTTAGGGAGATGATCCTGAATAGAAAAAAGTTTTAATGATTATTGTATCCATAAATGGAAAGCGGTAGTTAAAACAATTTTAAATTACTAATTATAAATAATGAAACTTACATATGAGTTAACGAGATCAGCTGCTGGTGCAATGTCAAGAGATTTTTTATTAGCTGTAGAATAAATATTACATTTAAAAACAATTTTTAAGAATATTAAAACAAATGAATAAATATTTTAAATAAATGAGAGAGCTTACTAGCAGTAGAAGACGGAAGAGATGACTTTTTAATTCCATTTACAGCTACCAGCGGGCTCTAAAATGCAAAAAGGAATTAATTTTTTTTTGATAAATTACTCTACATACGAAAGATGATTCTAGTTTCTTTATGGTTTGTAAAAAAATTGTAACAATCTAAGGACGGATCAGAATGTTCCTAAATAAAACCATAGTATAAAAAATATATAAATGCCAAATAACGAATTATGGATTTTACTTATATGATAACTTTTTAGGAAAAAAGAATATTCCTTAAAATAAGGCTGAGCTACAAAATGTTCAATACATAACAAGATTACATAAGTAATGAAATATTTACCCCAGAAAGAAGAAATAATTTGTTTGCAAACCATGAAGGAATTAAACCATTAACTGGCAACTTATTTATAATATAAATAACACAAATAAGTAGTAACTTTTAAGAATAATCAAGTTATGACATAGATTGAACCTAATTTGTGAGTCTTTACAATCATCAAAAAAATAAAAATATGTTTGATATTTCATTATTAAGGGATGTTTAATGATGAATTTAATAAAGTGCACACCAACCAGCCTTTACAATTACTTACAGCACGATTAATTTCATGAACTAGACCATAGTGTACTTAATTATTCCAAACCTTAGCTTCTTTCTGGAAACCACTTAGGTCCAGAGAAATAAACACACAACAGTGAAAATTTTTAGTATTATAAAAAATAGGCTATGTGGAATTGGCAGAGTCAAACTAAGTAAAGCATAAAATATTGCATATTAGTTACATCAAATGTTATATTTAAAATTATATTAATATCTCTCTTCAGTTATTTAGTGTCAAAGAAGCCAGATGACTCTGAATATTTTAGTAAAAAATAAAAAAACTGAGGATCTTCTATTTAGCAAGTGGAAAGAAAACGCAATTCTCATAGCTAACACCGCAAACAAACTATTTTAGGTTCATGCCTAAATAAAAAGATTTCTCAGTAGATTAGGGTTATTGATACTAGTGTTGAGAATTAGTCCACAAAGTGGGTTTTTTTGTATTTTTTTTTTTTCTCGCCTTTTAGGCTATACGGGATTTTCCTGGGCCGGGGGGTAAGAATTTAAAATCCCCTCCGGCACCGGGACGCGAACTTGTACTTTTTAAATCTTCTCAAATCTGTAATCCGGTTGCCAGGCAACTCGTGGTGCTGTGCACAGGCTTTAGCCCATTCGGCCACCCCGCTCCCAAAAATTGGTAGGGTTGACCATGTTACTCACGGCCTATGCCTGGGTTTGTATATTCCATCCTTGTCAAGGGGAGTGCTAAACTTCTCTCCTTTTTTACTACACAGGCTTTTTTGTCATCCTTTAGAACAGCTACCTTGAAGTTGCTGCCACCTATTGAGAGGATGAGGTACCTACTTTATAGAGGTTGTTATCACAGGAATCCCTCTCAGAACCAGAGTCATTACACATAGAATAGATAATAAAGCATCTGCTACAGACAGAAAACTCAGTTATTCTACTACCTTGTTTAGACTACTAATTTTAGTAATTTAGTTTAAGTTATAGGACACTGGACACTGTTTTCATAAACTTGGCTTGTATATATATATGTATTTTTTTTTTTTTCTTCGGTTGGCACTACAAACCATGAAGATATTTGACAGCGGGATGTGGTATATATATATATATATATATATATATATATATATATATAATGAAAACACTTTGTTATTTACAAAATACAATAATAATAAATACATGATGTTAGTTAATAATAATGCAAAAAATAAATATTTAATATTCAGTAATACACTTTTAGAGAACTCACAGGCTGAGAACTGATTGTTTTCTTCGATTTTTCAACAATGCCAGTAGGATGCTTTTCAGAAGAAATGGATGCAGGTATTTGTTTAGAAGCAGCTGAAATGCAAAATTCAAACTATAATAAAATAAATGCTATACAATTATTATACCAATTATATGACGCAATAGTAAATACACAGTGAGCAAATTTCTATTAAAAAAAATATATTATTATTCTTAAAATCTTGTTTGAAAAAAAAATCCTAACATACCTTCTAATTTCTTCACTGGATGATCTTCTTTGTCAGTAAGATCAATGATTTCCGAAACATCAGTTTTAAGCTGAAAAATGTATTGCTGGTTGTTAAAATGGTAAATTTTCTAATATTAAATCATAGGAGTCATTATCAAAATAAATGCAATTTTACACATTTCATGAACACCTGTACTAGTTAAATACATGTTAATTTTGTATTGTAAATCTTTTGTAGTTATTTAATAACAATTGTTTACTAATTGCTATTTTATATTTATACTAACTACTCAACTAATTAATATTTATAGATTTGAGGAATTTTTCTAACAGTATTTCTGTTATTCAGCTATTTGCTTAACAACCATTAAATACTTGGTCCAGTATACAGCAGTGATGGTTAATCGAAGTTTTATTGTACACAGTATATGCCTACATTTCACTAAGCTTCTTACTTAAAAATCAATTTAAATTAATAGATTAAATCAATAAAAAGACGTTTTATATTATTCTCTGACTTAGAGCAAAATTCAAGTTTTTGAAATATAGATGAGGACACATTTGCACATCTCCAAGTGGATGGTACTGGATAAAATTTACAATGATTAATTTTTTCACGTATCCCAATTTTCCTCCAACTTTGGATCAAATCAGACAAGGAATTTTTGAGGATGCTTGTAGAGGAAAATTGACGGCAACAGTAAGAATTTGATAAAATTGACTATTGGTATTAGTCATTACTTAGTTTATCATTATAATTAATAGCCAAATGGACTTGAGTATAAACGGACATAAAACCAACTTTATTCATGGATATCTAAAAAGTAAAACATGAATGACAAATTTTCTATACTGAGGACATAAATTGTTTTTGCTGCCCAAATGAATACCCATGAAGGAAAATAGTGACCATTGCTTGAGAGCTAGACAACCTATAAATGTGCCTACAGGTTAAAAAGGTTGGGGGTTCCCTTAAATAAAACAATATAACTAAACAATTTTAATATATATATATTGTAAAAATATCTCACTGTTTGAGACGATTCTTTTTCCACTAATGAATTATCTGTAGATAGTTTTTTTTGGTTAGAAACAACTGATGTTTTGTTTGCTACAGTTGGACTTTTAGTATATTCTACATTCAATGGTTTTCTGACAACTTTTTCAGTTGGCATAGTTCCATTCTTTGGAGCTTCAAAACTTTTTTTCATAGTTGAATTATTACTTTTATCCTTAATAGCCGAAGATGAAGTCTGAAACACATACATATAAAAAAAAAGGTAATTATAGATTTAGAATTTTAGAAGTAGAAAATTAAAAAAAAAAAAAATACATGACATGATTGTCACTTACAGAATTATTTTCAGTTACTGATACTATTACTACATCATCAGTAGTACTGCTATCTTTGTTACTCGCATCTTTTTCAACATTGGATGATATGTTTTCTTTATTGTCGAAGGGACCAACCTTACTAACGTTACTATCTTTGTCAGTTTTACTGGAAATATTGCAAGTATTTTTGGTAACAACAGTTTCTGGTTTTATTGGTTTAATTTCTTTTTCAGAGAATTTCGATCGTACAGTCATCTGAGGAAAAAATAAAAATGATACAATTTAATAATAATTTTAAATGATTAAAATAGTCACGAATAATGCATTTATTAAAAGCGACTTACAGATCCACATGTACAAACTTGTAAACCAACTGAACGAGTTACTTTAAGTGGAATAGCAGTATGTGTCCAATTCTTGCTATTGGATTTTTCATCAATAAGTTTTTTTATGATAAGCCTTGCATTATCAGCCTTAAAAAAAAATCATACAGGGTAATTTATAGAAATTGATCAGATATGAAAACTATATTTAAAAAAAAAAAGTACTAAAAAACTGATAAATTAAATAAATGAATTAAGCAAAAGTTCATACTCACTTGTCTTTTTAAAGCAGTCACCATTTGGTTCAGTCGTATTTGTTCATTTTGGAGTATTCTGCATTTCTGTCGTAGCTGTCCAACATCAGTTTTATAAGAAATCATTTCTATAACCTGCGTCATAACCATTTCTTCTAACACCTGAAAGTTGAATTGGTTTAAAGTGATACAAAAAAAAATTATAATAATGAGATACCTACTGGGTTTTAATTTGACTTAAACTTAAAAATCATGATATGTAAATTCATATAAATTAAAAATGCTTTCTCAGTCCTTGTACCTTGTTCTCCGTTCCTACCTCTCAGATCGTACCTTCCGAGTTCGTTGCGGTACTGAATTTTCGCATTGCTATCCAATTGAGGCAGGTGTTCCTCAAGGTAGCGTATTGGGTCCCGTCCTTTACATCCTCTTTACCGCCGATATCCCTGTCCATCCCGATACCTTCCTGGCAACTTTTGCTGATGACACCGCTATTCTATCATCCGACTCAGATCCCAACATAGCATCCTTAAATCTCCAAAACCACCTCACCTTGATTGAGCACTGGTGTAATAACTGGCGCATTAAAGTTAATGAATCTAAATGCCAACACATTACCTTTACACTCCGACGCAGTTCCTGTCCACCAGTACACTTTAATTCCATCCAGCTTCCTTACTCAGACACAGTCCGGTATCTTGGCTTTCATTTAGACCGAAGACTGACGTGGAACCCACATACTAGACTCAAAAGACAAGAACTCAACCGACGATACGGCCAGCTATACAGACTACTAAACAGAAAATCCAAACTTTCTATTGAAAACAAATTACTTATCTACAAGACAATACTGAAACCTATATGGACATACGGACTTGAACTGTGGGGTACAGCAAAAGCTTCTAACATCAAACGTATTCAATCCTTTCAATCTAAAGTCCTTCGAACAATAGTTGATGCTCCGTTCTATGTAAATAACAAAATCCTACACCATGACCTTAATATCCCATTTGTCCTAGACCTTATTCCAGAAAAATTCTCCAAATTTCACCAGAACCTTACCTATCATCCAAATCCCCTTGCACAATCTCTATCCAGCACCACCCATCCTTACAATCCTCCTCGAAGATTGAAGCGGCAGTGGCCCAGAGACCTTTTGTAAATAAGCATCTATTGGAGTTTTGGCAATGGCCAGATCCTCCACTCAAGCCCGAGTGTGTATGATTAGGTTAGTTCTTTTGTTTATATACATTCATTTTATTTTATTGTATTTGTTTTTATTTTATTCATTGTATTTATTATTATTGTTTCTGTATTATTTTATTTTATTTTTTTATTGTAAATAGAGTGTGAGTGTGCTTTCTCTGAACACTATTATAAATGTCCTTGATGTGACAGAATGTAATATTTCTAAATAAACAAATAAAAAAAAAAAAATTTTTCTTTTTAAAAAACTATATCAAAATTTCAACAAACTTATTGTATAAAAATTGCGATCACAAACAATATTTACGAAAGGTTAAAGGTTTTTAACTAGTCACCACTGGATTTATAATTATAATTAACAGCTTTGTAACCTGAATATATAATTTAAAAACTGTTAAGGGATTAATGGAAAAAATGACAAAGTATCAGATAGGAAAAAATAATAAAGCATCAGGCCCATAATGTATTAATTTTGAGCTGTTAAAAAAGTAGCAATGCTTCTAACATAATTTTATAATGGAATACTAAATCATGATACATAAATGATAATACATTAGAAGTCTGAAAGGAAAAGAACCTGAACTGATGGGAGAAATGAAACAGGTCAAGGTAGATATACCAGCTATCACGGAAAGATAATGATTGAGGACCACGTCATTTGATTCTCAGGAGTGGCTAAATTGGAGAGAGCAGGAGGAGGAGTTGGTTGTATTTTTCACCAAAGGTGAAAAGATAAAATAATATCCTGCAGCTCTATTAATAACAGGTTTATGACAGTAATGCTCATGGAAGGTGAACAGTAGTTAAATATAATTATAGCCTACGGCCCAAATGAAGATACATGCCTAGCAGACAAGAAAGTATTCTTCAAAGCTGTGCAAAACATAATTGATAATGCGGAAGGAGTCAATAACATGATAAAGGAATTAATAGATATAAGGGTTAGAAGAAGCTCCTAATAGGGAGCGACTCCTATCTACTAATTATGGACAGGATGCGGACAGACCAACCTAGAATCAAAACAAGAGCTGCTCTAAAATTGGAAAGAAAAAGAGAATAAAATATTTTAAATTGAAAGAAGAGGAAACTTCACTATGATACCAGGAAGAGCTTGAAAAGTTAGTAAAAGAGACCTAATTTGGAGAGATAAAAGAATACTGAAAGATTGGGAAGTTTTCGCCATTGTTCCGATAAACAAGGAAGGAGATAATAAGAAATACAAAAATCATAGAGGAATTTCTCTACTAAGTATCCTATGCAAGATATAGAGAAGGATCCTGGAAAGAACACTGAGAATAAGGGTCAACAGTAGCTTAGATGAGAAGCAATATGGTTTATGCAACCACAGAAATACCCATGACCTTATCTTCTCTATGAGACAAATAACCGAAAAACTGAAAAGGAGAAGGAAGTTATTTTGTAGATTTGACAAAAGTATTTGATCAATTGAGAAAGGAAGATTTAACTAAGGCCTTAGAGGAGCTGGGAGCGATCATGGGAGTAAGAATGTCCAATTGCACCTCTGCGGAATTTGAAACTGTCAGTGGTATATGACAAGGTTGTTGTCTCAGTCCTCTTCTGTTTAATGTTCTCTTGAACTCAGCACTGAAGAAAGCCAAACCTAAAATCAGAGGTTTTTATCTCAGCAACTGAAATCCAAGCCCAGTTTGTTATAATTTTGATCTGAAAATAAAAAAGGAAAAAACAAAAGTAAAGAGGATTGGAAAAATAATAAAATAGGTAGATAGCTTTAAATATCTAGTAGCACACCAAACAGAAAAAGGACCTACAGATACAGAGATCAGGAAAAGAATAGCTTCGGCTGAAAAATTGTTCAATGCTGTTAAAAGGGGATTCATTAATGGGAGAGAAAATCAAAAGGAACAAAGGTGGCTACATACAAGAATACTTTCATCCCAATACTGACGTATTTAAGTGAATCTTGGTCACTTACGACAAAGCACAGGAGGCTAATGCAGAGTTCTGAGATGAGATTCCGTAGGGCCAAGTTTGCCAAATCTTCTTTATTTAAATGGTATAAAGAAAAGATCATTATGAAACTTTAACTGAAACTAGGCTCTACCATTTCAGATCAGACAACATAATTAAGAAATTTTATTTGTACTTTTGAAATACAAAAATTAATAATAAAGTACTATTATTAAAAAAACAATATTATACTTACATAACGGTTAACGGTAATTTCAGTTTTGCCTTCAAAATAATTGGAAAACAGTTTTTTCCTTCCTTCCATTACTTCTTTTAATTCTTCAGGAGAATATTCTTCTTTAACTAGTTTATTCTTGATTTTTATCATTTCATTTAAAGGATCAGTTCCATTCATATCAACTGATTCATCAGAGCTATCATTACCAGTACTACTACCACTATCATAACTAGATCCAGAATCTGAAACTGGCTCTTTTTTTAATGTTTTAATAGGTTTCAATCCGCCATTTTCTTCTAAATTATTTTCAACAGTAAGTCCCTCCTTGATTTCCTCTCCTTTGTCAAGCTTAATTTTTTGTCCCTCCTTGATTTCCTCTCCTTTGTCAAGCTTAATTTTTTGTCCCTCCTTGATTTCCTCTCCTTTGTCAAGCTTAATTTTTTTAATTTGATCATTAGCACTAGTTTCTTCATCAGCTTCACGTTTGAGCCTTTTTTCAGGATCAATCTTCTCTGAAAATGGCAGAATTTTTATCAGCCTAATTGTAGATGAAGATGTGCTACTTTAATAATGGAAAGAATTTTTTTTTTTATTATAGCAGCTAACCAATCAACAATATATAAAAAGATACACAAGCTAACAAACTGCAAGCAATTAAGTTATTTAGAAAAAAAAAAGATAAAGTAAGAAAAAAAAAGTTCAAATGGAGGAAAAGATAAAATACAAATTCTAGAGAGCAAATAATACCACAAAGAAAAAAAAAAAAAAAAAAAAAAATTGCTTGATATAAGATAAAACAAAATATTCATTTATGTAGGTCTATATATAAACACACGTTTATAACATAATGGGTGGAAATTCGTTTAAAACCGGATGCTTGTTATTGCTCTAATAATCTAGTGAAAAGATTGTTTTTTAAGGAACGATATGGTATTTTAATAATTCATATGTTTTTGATCAGTGTATATCAAGTGAAACCACCCTATGATGTATCTCCTTAAGAAAAAATTGTTAATTTTTGAAATTACAAATTTTTTAATTTATTTTGTAAATATTCACATTAGTGATAAAATGTTGTAATGAAAATTAGGTTGTCTATTATTAATTCTCAAACTTATAACACTTTTTTTGTTTTTCATTTATAACTGGATATCAATATATGCATCCAAGTTACTTTTAAAAAAACTTAAATCTTGCGTCAAATTAGTACCACTTAATAAATTGGATAAGTTAAGTGGTCAATAACCACAGTCAACAAACTCTGAATTTCACCAACTTTGTCGAAAAAAGATCTATTCTATTTAAAGAAATGACTGAAGAAGTTTTGAAATATTATAAAATTCATGCAATAAAAACCTGTTTAGGTGATTTACCAACTTTAATATTTTGAAAATAATTTTAAAAAAATTACCATGAAATCAAATTTGTAGACTCCTTTATTAAACTGCCATATGAACAAAAATTAATACTTAAAGAGATTTCATGAAATAAGTAAAAAAAAAAAATGTGTTATTGAAACTTCTCAGTATAATTTGTCAATGGGAGGATAAATTAGCTACTATCTATAGTTACTCGCATCTCTCTGTTTTAATGTGGAACAGTTAAACACAAAATTATTCATTATTTTATGACTTCCTTAATTTCAACAAAATCTTTACTATAGTCAATTACACTCCTCGAACGCATCCTACAAGTGGTGAATGTAAGGATGGTCAGTGGAAATTTCTCGGAAGTTTCTTCTGGCTATGTCCGATGGACTTGCTCACCAACCATGAGAAGGTGTGACGTAGAATTGAACGCCGTACTCACAAATCTGTAGTTTCCAAAATCAGGGGATTTTTCATGGCACAAATTGGGTCATCCAAAGTTTTTGAAGGACACATTTTAACAGGGTTTTGAATTTTTGAGGGGACAAATTTCGACGGAATTATGAATTTTTGGAATGAAAAGTTTCAAACCAGGAGACAGGAGAAAAGCATAGAACAGACCAAGGAAAGTGTAATTGTATTTGACCTATGATTTTTAAAATTTTACTGTTAGCTTGAACTGTTTTTAAGAAGATGGGAGCAATAAAATATCTTGGTAAGAGGAGGGAGGTTCACATGCCATTGATCTTGGAGGATGGGTGCCCCTGCACAAAATACCAAACAGTCACGGATCTTCCTAAGGTAAAACTCTCATTATCCAGAAGCAAACTAGTCCCCCATTCAGGTCTATGTATAGGGATGTGAATGTAAGAAGTTTGAATACAGCAGATTATAATCAGTCGCAAATGAGGTTAATGGGTACAATTTAGATATTCTGGCATTGTAAGAGGTTCGCTGGTCAGAGGAGAGATCCATAAGGGAAGGTGACTGCACTATTTGGTACAGATGAAGTGGAAATCATTGTTCAGGTACTAGTTTTCAGGCCATATTCCTGTGGTTTTGGTTTAAAATCGTGTTGATAAACATAATTATCCAATCAGAAGCAGCGATGATAAAGCCAAATGCGAATTTTAAGATAAACTGGAGTGGGTTTATAATAAACTACCATGAAGCTGCATAAACATAATTCCAAGAGATGCTAACGCGAAGGAAGAAGTTTATTTTCCTACCATCGGTAAAGAAAGCTTACACAACTATAGTAATGATAATGGAATTTGGCTAATAAATTTTGCTATCTCGAAAAACTGAATAAATAAAAGCACTACATTTAAACATAACGATATTCACAAATATATGTGGACATCACTGGATTTGCAAACATGAAATCAAATCAATCAAGTCTTGATACAACATAGGTGACACAATAATATAATTAATGTAAAGTCTTACGGTGGAGCAGAATTTGGATCAAATCATGAATTAGTAATAGCGAAACTTAATAAAGAAATTTTAATATAAAAAAGAGAAAATAAAACCGTTTTGATAACAAGAATTTTAATTTGGAAAAATCAAAAATCCATTAATTCGATCTTGAAGTTAATAGATTTGTAGCTTTAGAACCTTCTGATGAGAACTGTGATGATATAGATAAGTTAAGGATAGAGATCAGGGATAATATTAAACCTGTACCACTACAACCCATGAAGGGTCTTGTGTGCAGTACTATGTGAGGAAGTACTGTTACAAGGCCAACGGTTGTGCAGGGAGGTGATGGGGCCGATATCACACTCAACCGCCAGATTTTCCCCCTTAATTATTTTTATAATTAAGAGTATCCACTTTATAGAAGCTAGGTGTACCCTAAGAGGGTCTCCTGATCCCAGGATCGATCCACGGCTAATGAAAAATTACTAGTCATTAGCCGGATTCGAACTCAGGACCTTGAGCTCTAGAAGTCAGTGCTCACTCACTGAGCTACCCCGCTCCCAGGGATAATATTAAAGAGGTTGGTAAATCGTGCCTTGTAAAAAGGGAAATTAAAAAGAAAAAAACATGTTTGGTGAAGGTTGTTTAAGCATGTGTGAAAAAAACAACAACGCTACACTAAAAGCTCTAAATAATCCTAGAGAAAACAATCTTGAATACTTCCGAGCCTAAAAGAATGAAACTACTAAATTGTTTAAAAATAAAAAAATAGAATATCTTAAAAATAAAATAATAGATATAGAAAGTAATAAAATCGAAAACAACGCAAGAGACATATACAAACACATAAATAAATCATGTAAATATTTAGGATCTGTAACGACTGGAATGAGGGATTAAAATAAGAATATCCTCACGGACCAGGTAGACATATAAAGTTTAAGAAAACACTTTGGCAATATATTAAATATGGGAAATAATGATATGTATCCTCCTTCTGAGTACCAGAATGGCGAACCACTAATAAAAGAACCAAGTAAAGAGGAAGTTGAAAGAGCTATTGGAAAATTTAAATCATATAAAGCAGCGGGAACCGATAATATTCCTAGAGAACTAATTAAGGCATGCAGGGAAGCTGCATTTTCTAAGGTACTTTTTTTGGTTAAAAAGATTTGGGAGAATGAGAAATTGCCTGAAGAATAGAAAGAATCTATTCTTATTCCTATTCACAAAAAGGGTTCGAGGACGGATTGTAATAACTATCGAGGAATTCATTTCTTGCGGGATACTATAAAATATTCATATTAATCTTAAGCAGTCGAATCATGGAATAAGCCGAGAAAATCATCAATGTTGATTTAAACGAAACTATTCGACTATTGGTCAAATATTTTCCTTACGGCTAATATTGGAGAAAAAATTAGAGCACAGCAGTGTTGTTCAGCAGCTTTATATCAAATTTAAAAAGGCTTATGATTCCATCGGATGTCAGAAGCTGTGTAATATTCTAATTGATCCAGGGATCCCCCAAAAAATTAGGAATTTAGTTCGGATGCGTATGTCCGAAATATTCAACCAAGATAGAATCGGTTATTATTTACCTGTAACATTTGAAGTTCATTCAAGCCTAAAATAAGGTGTTTTCCTTTCACATGTGCTGTTTAATTTGGCATTAAAACATGTGATATATACCGAAAAAGATTTGAATCTGGGTGGAACAATATCCTTGCTTGGAGTATGCTGATGATTTGATATTGGTAAGTGATGAAAGAGAAGCAATAAAACTAAATATAACAAGGATGATGAAAGCCTCTAAAGAACTGGGCCTCAACATAAATATTAATAATAAAAAATAAAAAGGCTTAGCAAACCCGAAGGTTCGATGCCGACACCACCAATCGCCTACTACACACCTCCCTCCACCGTTCGCCGTCCAAACCCAGTCCCTTCAGATCAGCTTTAATGCAATCTTTCCACCTTCGCTTCGGTCTACCCCTCGGACGCTTACCATTCGGCACAGCAAATATTAACCTTTTAGGAATTCTCTCGTTACTAAGTCCAACAACTTTACAAGCCCATTTGATTCGCCGCGATGAAATTACCTCAATTATATTACCCGGATACAGCTCACGCAATTCGGCGTTGTGTAACCGTCTGAACTCTCCGGTTAACTCATCCTTCTTCGGTCCGAATATTCTACGCAATACTTTATTTTCAAAAACCTTAAGACGCTGCTCATCCCTTAATGTAAGCGGCCAAGTTTCGCATCCATAAAGAACTGTAGGCAAGATAATTGTTTTATAGATTCTAATTTTTAAGTTCCGGGACAAGAGGCGCGAACTAAGTAGTTTTGTCACAGAAAAATAACAAGCATTTCCCGCCTTCAGTCTAACCTTAATCTCTTCTATCAACATAAATATTGAAAAGACAAAATATATAGTTCGCAACAAAAATGGCGACAATTTCAGTTTTATATATATATAAGGAAATACGTTTGAAAACGTAGAGAAGTTCAGGTACTTAGGGTCTACGACAACAATAAAAAACAAAATTGAAGAGGAAGTTAAGGCTAGGTGGAAGGCGAGAAATGTTATTTTCAGTTGCGAAACTACTTAGCTTGTGGCTGTTGTCTCGAAACTTAAAAATCAGAATTCACAAAACCATGATCCTTCCTAAGGTTCTTTATGGATGCAAAATGTGGTCGCTTACATTAGGGGATG